ACGTATTCAGTACTTCATTAAGCGGTTTAGTGAGTAAAAGACTTAACACAACATCTCACAATCTGGCTTCTTGATCAGACCATAAGATGACGCCTGTTCACTTTGTGGCCCCAGACATACCCCGTGAATTTACGTATGGACCCTGTCAGACCCACTTGTGTTGACTGCCATGACAAGGTCAACAGCTGAGCACGGAATAACGCTCGTTTCACTCAGCTGAGCGCCAGGGGAAGGTGAAGTCATAACCCTCAATTTGTCTGCCTCACTCACACACCATTTAGATATTGACATGCAGGGCCGCTGCTTACACTGCAAACAGCGGCGACGTCGTTCTCACTGACAGCTCAAGTATTTGCTCCTCTTCCTGCCGAGGAACTTGGCCGGAAGCCAAATCCAAGATCAACAACGAGGCACAAATGCGAGGTTTCGGCAAGGGAAAATGGGAAGACTTCGGAACGGTGACGTCACTTGTTTGACTTCTCTGCCTTGGAAAAGCAACCAAGCGTTCAGTGCGTAGGCGGGGGAAGCCCTGAGCGTGGCTCGTCTTGTATGTGCTCTGAAATTCACCGCAAATGTGGCCAGTGAATAAATACCAAGAGTTCTTGCTGACTTGCATTTTCATCATCGTAAAGTCTCTTAAAATCGAGCTGGCGGACAAGCAAACTGCCTCACCAAAGGGTGTTCCTTTTGAGTCCCAGAACACAGAATAATCCTGCCCTCTTCCCTCCTTTGACTCCCTGTCCTCCCGTCTTTTGCTTGTTTTGTTCGATTTAGATCCGCACTGCACCGTCAGCTTCTTTGTTTACCTTCTGCCACTCGAGAGTCTTGTTGGTTTGCCGCGTTTTTCATGTTGAATGGTCGTCTCACGCCGCTTTCACCGAGAAATCCTACAAAACTGCCATAAAGGCCGAGTATTTATCCTCAGTTTATTATTATTAGTATTTTTTTTTTTTTGGTACAGAATCCAGCAAAGGCGATGTATTTGTCATCGCACAGCGACATGGCATCTCACATGCTTGTTGGACAGTGACAAATTGCTTTCAACACAACGGTATGGAAGGAGTGAGCATCAGGTGTTAAATTTCACACTTGACATTCCCTTATACAGCGATGTTATCGCTGCACTTTTCCGACTCTGATACTACCTCCGAAGGTCCAAGAAATTTCAAAAGGGCTTAATGATAGTTTGAGTCTGACTTCATCTTTTCTTTTTGTTGTGATGCGGGCTCTGTATCGGTCTGTCGTGGTGAATTTTGGCAAAGTTCTCAATGTACCGGTCAATCTACGTCCCTACTCTTACCTGTGGTTACGAGCTGTGGGTCGTGAGCAAAAGAACAATATTCCGAAGACAAGCGTTTGAAATGAGTTTCCTCCACGAGGTGTCTGGGCTCTCCCTTCGAGAGAGGGTGAGAAGCTCAGTCGTCCGGGACGGACTCCAGATTCGAAGCGCTACTTCTCCGCATTGAGACGAGCCAGATGAAGTGGCTTGGGCATCTGATTAGGATGCCTCCTGGACGTCTCCCTGGTGAGGTGTTCCGGGCATGTCACACCAGCAGGAGACCCCGGGGACGACCCAGTTCATGCTGGAGAAACAATGTTTCCCGGCTGGTCTGGGAGAGCCTCGAGGTCCCTCCGGAAGATTAGAAGACGGGGGTAGAGGCAAGTCTGGGCTTCCCCTTTGAAGCAGCTGCCTCCGTAAACCCGACTCCGGGTAAGTGATCTGAAATAAGTATTTGGTCACCTGCAAACAAGCGAGATTTCAGGCTCTCGCTAACTCCTAACTTCGTCTCCTTTGTCCTCTTTGCGAAAAATTATTTAAAAATCAGACAATATGATTTTCTGGATGTATTTTCTCATTTTATCTTTCCTAGTTGAGGTATACCTATGATGAAAATTTCAGGCCCTCTCGTCTTTTTTAAATGGGAGATATGGCACAATTGATGGCAGACTAAATACTTCTTTGCCCCAATGTATACGTTTATATGTAGACTTCCTTGTATGGTCGTGCTGGAACTTGTCATAAGGCTCATGTGATAAGCAGTGACTTTGCTGTTTTTATATGGAGAACAGCTGCCAGACTTCATGACAATCACACATTATTGGATTTTGTGTTATGTCAAGTGTTTTATGTTTGCTTTATTTATTTTTCCATGAACTAATTCTGCTGGTTTCCACTGCGTTGGACAGATTGGTTGCTAATGATATGCGCCTCCTATCATTCATCCCAAGGCACACAAGTGCTGTAATTTACAGCCTCTGCGTGCAGTCCGGCAACTGGCTTGTCACATTATGTTCATTTGATCAAAAGATTGCCCAAGCGCTGAGGGGAAAAGAAGACGTGTGACTGCGTTGGGAAACCGGGGCAAAAGTGAAAGATGTGAAAGACTACTTTTGTTGAATAACACATGGGTGGAGAAATGACGAGAAAAGGTTGAGCCTTCACATGCTCTTCTGCAAAGATGTACTGTGGATCATCTCCTGGAAGACATTTTGGAAAGAGACACTTGCAGAAACATGCATGATGTGTGGCTTTAACAAAAAAAAAAAAAAAAATGGAAAAAAATATGGAATTTGGATTAAGAAGAAGAGAGTGAGGCAGGATTAGCGGTTGCATGGATGCGTTGGCTGTGCGCTGCAGAAAGGAGCCAGATTAGCATCAGAGCAGTTGGAATTCAAGCCTTATCTCTGTGCGGCAGGGCCCAGTTTTAGGAATAGATGAACCAGCTCCGGGTACACGTCTGCCGCTGGACAAGTAACACTGCAGCCTCTGTTCCGCTCTGCTTGACAACTCGATTAGCATGGCGCTGAGCTCGGAGGTGTCTCGCTTAGCACGAGCCTGACACACTTTTCTTGCATTCTGCCCAAGCGGTATGGTTGTTCAAACGCACATTTTCAGCTTTTTAGTTTTAACTGAGGTGAACGATTGGTTCTTGGTATTCCAAATTACTTAAAACAGGGCTGTAAAACTCATTTTTGTTGTGGGACACATTTTAGTAGCCGTTTGCCTTGTAGGGCCATTAGGACTGAAACGTTTTTTTTTAAAAGTCAATAATAACAGTTTATTGAAATATTGCTTGTTACTGTAATGAAGGGTTTGGTTACAAGAAAATGCTCACAATATGTCTCTTGCTTATTAGATATAAGAATTTTAAATTTTGGTAGCAATTTTTAGCAAGCACCTTGGAAGTTGACATGTTTGATTTTCTTTTGCGGGCCACATAAAATGATGTGGCAGGCCAGATCTGGCCCCCGGGCCTTGGGTTTGACACCATGCCTAAAGACAAGGTAAAATTAACTGTTGAAAGCATTGCCAATGAAGATATTACTAAAGGCGTTTTCATCTTACCGTTTTTTTCTTAAATATTGGCTCACAATTCATAGCCTGTCACTTACCTGAGCTCACAATAAGCAACTCTACACTCTCATTTGCTGACTCCCACATCACTCACCAGGCTAGACCCCACCTTTTAAAGCCATCGCCTTCTTAAAATGTCACATATATTTTAGCATTTATCGTGAGGATGCCAACCCCAAGTGGAAAACAATAATACCTGCACCTGCTGTGCACGTTTTGTTGTTTAATAATGCAAAATATTTTATAAAACTGGTTAAAATCTCATTTTAGGCCATGATAAGCATTTCGGGGAGGATTATATTATTTTCGTTTTTCACTTTAACTCAAAGTACACTTGAGTGGCCAGACGTCTTCCTGCTTTATGTTGCAGTCGTGCTGTTAAGAATTGTTTGACCGCTTTTGTGTTGTTTGACTTTTGAGGCACGTTGATTCCAAAAATGGGAGTTAAGCTACACGTTGTTTGACTTTAAAACTGAAGGATTTGGAGTGGGAGGAAATGCTCCAATGTATCTTGTGCGCCACCATTTATCATCCTGTGACTTTGACTGAAGACCCCCTCCGGGAAATGCGTCTGAGGTAAACAAAGGCCTTCTCGCCACTGTTTAAGAAAACGTGTCCTGTTTTTCTTGATTTAAAATGATGGTACGTGGCTTATCTGTGTGTTTCTACCGTGGTGCCTCTACAAAATGAGGCCTCTGTTGAAGCGGAGGGTGGGGGGATCTTTTCTTTGCAGCCTTGTTTACTCATCTGTCTCAGCCAGGGGTGAAATGGGATAATGAAGACTTGCAGCTGATGAGAGAGGTGGGAGCAAGTTATGTGTAATAGGGAGGTGCCCCCCAACTTCCCGCCCTCTTTCTAAAACCAGGAACATTCACCCTCCTGCCTCCTTAAAGCGGCCACTCAGAGACTAGAACAACGAAGGGGGGAGCCTGTTTTTCCATGCCTGATCTTGCCCCCAGGAAGTAGATATACTTCCACAAGCTAATAAGCTTGTAAGCAAGTCACGTCTGTAACATCAGAGCACAAAAATAACACGCATGTGTTGGTGCGTTTACCACCCTTGCCCCCATTCCCACTCCATGTAGTCATGTTTGCATGGATAGCCCCAGCGTCTTGTCCTCTCCTCGCCAGTCAGGACGTGTTCTGCGGAACTCTTGAGTAATGCGCGGTGATAATTAGTCTAGCAGATTGTTTAAAAGGAGTCACGATGCTACCCTAAGGCTTCTTGGACTGTGGAGATCACACTCGTAAACTTGACTGTCATCGTGAAATGTAGGACACTACTTTCCTGCAAGCATAACCTTTTGAAGAAGCTGCATTCATTTCCCAGAGGTCTGCAGTGGAACTACAAAGATCCTTGATTCATGTTTTAATGAACGTTTAAGCGTTCTTAACTGTCATAGAACTGTAAAAGATGAACCAGTGTCATATAGCGTGGATCAAACGAAATTAAAGCAAAATTGCTCATCCTGTGAAGACACGATCCTGACACCCAGGATTAGACACGGGCTGGTCTCAGATTCTGACGTACTTTAATTTTTATTTATCCGGTTAAGGCAATTGAGAAAAAAAAGTTAACCTCGCCCATGCCTCAAGTCGAAGGTAAATCGAGGTGGAACTCAAAACTCCTCTTCTCCACCCACAGGATCTGTCCTGCATCGATGACCTCTCCACCAATTCCCTGTTCTCCTCTCCGCCCGACTCACTGTCAGAGTATGCCGACGCCCAGTCCTTCATCAGCACCGACCACCTGGACACGGTGCCCACCCTCTGGGACGTCAGCACGAGTACCACCGCCGTCACCACACCAGCACAGAGCCAGCTGGAGGTCAGTAGACACACACATTGACGCACGCATAATGAGATGATGACCACAACGAAACACCCTTCCAATCGCGGTTTCAGAATTCTATGTCTCCACATGCATGTGAGTAGTTGAGTAGGCAGGTGTCGAATACAAACCACGCCGGCTATAATTATGCCTCTGAGGACCCGCAATTACATTACTTGATGTAGATTACAGCCAAGCGGCCGTTTGACATTTTTTATTTTACCTTTTTTATGGTGTGTTAGTTTAACATCATTTTGTGATCGTTTTTCTGTTTGACTTGTTTTTTGACATTGCATATTTTATAAAATAGAAAACACTAATTTTGTTGGTCCTTGACAAATGCAGGTTGTCACTCGCCTGTCAGGCACATACAAAACGGCATTTTCCGAAGTGAACGCCATAATAAGTACCCCTTCATGGTTTCCACCTGTTTTTCCACACCATTTGAGTTTTTTTTTTATTATTTTCTTTTTATTTAATGTTTTTGTTGACAGCTGAAAGGCTCCAACAGGTTTCAGGGCTTGGCAAGTTTGGATGATATAACCGCTATAATCAGCACGCCACCTTTAGGAGGATTTCAGGTAGCCGTACCAATCGAATATAACACTTCAACTAACGCTCTCTTTCTCTGTGTGCACCTCAATGAACGGTCGCTCTCAAATGTGCACCCGCTAACGCTTTCGGTGCTAACGTTAGCTGTGGATGCACTCGTGACTGGGTGCTTTGCATTAATGTGGGAGGCTAAACTTGAGCTGCTTCGGTGGTCAGCAAACTCCTTCTTACAAATTCGGCACGACACTCTACTGAAATCAATAGTGCCGTCAGGGTGTTTTTGAAAAGTAAATTTTTGTTTCTTGTAATCTGCATTTTATGCAAAGTGTTTTGTCTCTTGTATTACATTGGAGTGTAATAAATGGGTTTGACTACCAAACTTGGCTGGGATTTTGATCGTAAGCAAGTTTTCAACTTCCTGCTTCAGCTGGTTTAACTCCAATTTCCATTGCTGTCTTGTGAATCTTTTTAATTTTTGCATGCTTACCTGTCCGGCTACTAACATTCTTTTTTTTTTTCTTACTTAATTCAGGCAAAAACCAGAGCTGCATAAAGTGTTCCACAATTGGCTTCTGTTGAATATTATCTTTGGTGTTGCCAGACTCAGAGAACCCAGTCACCCCCAGAGGAGGAGGAGGAAGCAGAGGAAGAGGATTCAGAGGAACTGGGCCATGTTGACACGTATGCTGAGTACAGACCTTCCAAATGTAGGTCACTCGACTCGACGGCAAAATATGGCCGCACACTCCCTTCAGACAAACTTCATTTCTTCCTTTCTCCTCTTCAGCCACTATCGGAATTTCCCATCCCGACATAGTGGTGGAGACCAACACGCTGTCCAGTGTCCCTCCTCCGGACATCACATACACTCTGTCTATACCCGAGTCGACCATTAACAGCGGCCTGCTGTCAGCCCTGCAGCTAGAAGCCATCATCTACGCCTGTCAGGTACACATTCACATGCCAGAGATGTTTAAAAGGCAGTCACTCCCTTTTACAACAATGAGAAACCAGTCTCTCTCTCTCTTTTTTTGTATGGCCAGCAACACGAGGTCATCTTACAGAACAACCAGCGAGCAGGCTTCCTGATCGGAGATGGAGCCGGTGTGGGAAAGGGACGCACTGTTGCGGGAATCATCCTGGAAAACTATCTGAAGGGAAGGAAAAAATCACTATGGTGAGTAAGCACTCCCTGATGAGGTTTATTAGCAATACCTAGAATTAATGACTGTAGCTTAGTAGGGTATTCGTGTAGAAGAAGGATGAGCAATTAATTTTCCCCACTTGACAAACTGCAATGTGTTATTTTTTTTGGGGGAGGGGGGTTGCCACTGTTGTCGCTGCAGGATAAGATGCTACAATTAGGGAATATGAACGGAAATGGTCGTACTACCGATCGTGGAAATGAAATTGCTAAATTCTTATCAATTCCAATTCCTAGCGTGAGATCAGCTTTAATTCTGCACATGGAACTTGTTTGCGACATGTGATAAGATTCCACAGTTTGACCTGAGAAATTGCATCTGTGCTTTGGTGCTGCTATTTTGGTTAGCAACGCCGTTCAAAGAGCCAGTTTGAGTATTTAATGTCCATGAATGAACAATAAGGTCTGTAAACCGAGATCATTTGACGTACTGTGCATTTGTTTCCAGCAGTGAAATAACCAGCACTTGCTATTAATTAAGACGTTGCTTGATTAACATTTACCCCCATAACAATAGTTTCATGTGTAGCTTCATACCTTATTATCTCGCAACATCTGGATTAGGGCTGAAAGGGGTCATCGAGTGATTTAAGTACATTGGATCAAAAAAAAAAAATGCTCTAGGCATTTTTTTTCTTCCTCGAATACCTGGTTATTTACATGTACTCTGTCAGGAAGAAGTCAAGCTAACCGCAGCAACAATTCTTCATGCTATACATGACAGTTACACACCGCCAAATAAAAATAAACCTTAGTTACCAAATAATAATATGCACATCAGTGCCGTGGTGCGCTTTTATTTTGATGTTGTTCCCGGCAACGTGTCGCGCCGTAACAGCTTCAGTGACTAGTTTTCAAGTCTGTGTTTGTAGTCTTATTTTCGCCACAAACTGTTGCTTCTGACGACAGCAATACATCTTTGTCCTGAAATAATGTTCTATCACTAATTAGGTGTGTTGCAAAAAAAAACAACTTAATTGCGCTGTATTGTACGCAGCTAGCAGCGCTCAAGTTAAATGGCCGGAATGAGTCTGCACGTTGATGCGGACACACTTGCCATTCCTACTGATCAACTTAATAAACCAGGCTTGCTCAAGTGTGTTGTTTTAGCCAGCAAAATTGCCACTGTGCTACTGACGTCTTTTCGTGTCTGAGACCAAAATTTATGGGGAGAGATTTATCTAAAGTCTCACTAATCTTTCTACAAAGGAAAATAGTGCGCTGCCATGCACAGTTTAAATCAATGTATAAAATGGTAATTATCTAAAAATAAAACCAGCGTGCCATTTATTATGAAGTGGAAATGTCTTTTTTGAGTTCTGTATCTTTAACCATGCAAAAAATTGTATTAATTTTTTTTTAATCTAATTACCCGATTATTCTATTCAACTTTTCAGTCGGATATTCGAATACCAAAATATGTGATAACTGCAGCCCTAATTGAGATAATTGTGAATTAATTCTTATCGCTCAGTCACTTTTTTCGAGTACTATTGTAACACCATTTCTCTAATGTAATTTTTTTCATAGCAGGATGACTTCATCCCGGTTACTTAATCAAATTTTTTTTTTTGATTATTTTGACTGATTTTTTTTTTTTTTTTTTTTTTTTTTCGGTATCCATCCTTGAATCTCCTAATCCTTTTTTCTTCTAAACATATGACTGCATTGTAACTTGACGAAAAATGTCTCTTGCAATTTTACTACGGTACTTTTTTTATTTCAGGGTGTCCTTAATATGCCACCTCAGTGTTTCCCAACAATTTATTGAACCCCGGCACATATTTTACAAAATCTCATCACACCACGAAACAAAACTGTCACAGAGTGGGTTAATTATCTACCCCCTACCATCTAGTGGATGAGCTTTTAATTGTTCTGTCTTTCACTGTACTTTAATGGCTTCATGAATGATACATGATTTGGATTAAATAAATCATTTTCAGAATCCATTAAGTGAAACTGGATAACTCCACAGCTGATGATTTGTCATGGCTTGTTGGATATCACTGCTCCATTATACATAGATGGCATCTTTTTGGGAAGAGGCATTTGTTTGTTTTAAGTGGGTGACACACCTGACGACTAATGGGGTGAAATCATCATTTAATGGGATGGCTTCTGTTTCAGGAACATCTCAAACTGATACACATTTTATTTTATGTTATGCTTCTGTGGTGCTGTTTGGTTGTAGTGAAATCTCAAAGATGAGCCGTGACTCAGTACCATGTCATCTTAATTGTAGCTTTTGCACGCAGCGCAGCCCACCAGGATGTGAGCTCGCCACTCAGTCAGCCCCTGTCTTCGGTCGGCCGCCGTAAAATTCATTCATGCACACAGCCAACATCGCCTGATTTGCATGTGCTTGTACTTGTTCTGTCCGGTTATATACACTGAATGACTAATCCCACTGTTCCTGCCCACAGGTTCAGCATATCCAATGACCTGAAATTTGATGCAGAGCGAGATCTCAAAGACATAGATGCATCGACTATTCCTGTGCATGCCTTAAACAAAGTGAGTGCACGTGTTAATAAGAATGAGCGTTCTTTCTTCGCGGTCATGCAGAAAATGGAACGGAGCAAAGCGGCGGCGGGTGACCGTGTGACTGTGTTGCAGATTAAGTATGGAGACACAGCTACCTCAGAAGGAGTCCTCTTTGCGACCTACTCTGCGCTGATTGGTGAGAGCCAGGCGGGAGGGCAGCACCGCACGCGGATTAAACAGATCCTGGACTGGTGCAAGCCGGATTTTGACGGAGTTGTATCCTTTCATTTTCCAGATGACGCACACATTCCTCCTCCACTTCCAGTGTGCCGTCCATGCCAACAGACACACACACGCGCGCGCACACCCCTATGTTTCCCTGTGTCGTTTGCCCTTGACCTGCATTCTCCTCACAGATTATTTTTGATGAATGCCACAAAGCCAAGAATGCCACGTCAACAAAGATGGGCAAGGCGGTGCTTGATCTGCAAAACAAGCTGCCACGGGCCAGAGTGGTGTATGCCAGTGCCACAGGTACACAAGATGAGAGGCAGTACAACGGAAGCCTCCAAAGTGGAACACAGTCTGTTCCGTGTCCTTGGTTGATGTCTGAGTCTGAGTGTTCCTAGTTTCAAAGTGATTTTTTTTTCCCATGAGAAATAAAGTTAAGTGGGCAGCACAGTGTCCCAATGGTTCGTACATCTGTGTCACAGTCATGAGGTTTGTGGTTCGAATGTGGACTTGGCATTCGGGCTGGGTTAGACCACGTTACGGTACCGGTATCAAGATATTAATATTCAAAATGAAAACATTTTCAGTCAACTAGGAGGACATCACGCTCGTGCTGCGTGTACAGCTCATGTATTTGTGTATGTAATTGATATTTGATTAATTGGAACAGCCAGGACTTTTCCAATGTCTACACGTGTGTCCTCATGAAATGCAAAAAATATGCTGGGACTTTGGAGACGCTTATTGCCCAAAATTTGACCCTTTTTCAGGCGTTTTGACTTTGGATGTTCCAGTGATTCAGCAAAACACAAGTCAAGCTTATTTATTAATTTTTTTTTGGTCACGCAGGTGCCTCTGAGCCAAAGAACATGATCTACATGAGCCGCCTGGGTATCTGGGGTGAGGGCACGCCTTTCAGGGCCTTTGACGACTTCCTGCACACCATCGAGAAGAGGTTCGTGGTGTCTGATGTCTTGAAATGACTCATAAATTACATGGGTTTCCTGTTCTTGTAAGATACTGTCTATTTCCTCATATCGTGGCCAAGGCGGGGCTGTTCTTTTGTTCAGTGTACTGCACCCTGCACATGGGATATATTTGTGCAAATTCACGTGTAAACGTGTGCAGTTAGAAACGATGATGTCATTTGATTGGTTGGCAAACTTCAGTCTTTCTTCCATGCCTCTGGAGGTGCTCTTGTGTTGAGTAATAACAGGGTTCACAATGGCAATGGAGGTAAAGCTCGATAAAGTAGAATATCAGGGAGATGTTTATTTAAATAGTTTAATTCCCCCAAAAATTTATACACAGGATTGTAAAAATAAATGACACGCTGAGAAAAAAGTTTTACATTTCTTCATTGTTTCTTATGCAATGTTATGTTGAATTTGGTGTTTTTGTTCATCATAAAATAACTGCGTAAAATATTTCACAATGTATATGAGTTTTCCTTGTGAATAGTACGACTGGAATACACTTAAATTTAACATTATGCTGATTGGCGGAGATGTACTTATAGATGCTATTTACACACAGAGGCGTGGGTGCCATGGAGATTGTTGCTATGGATATGAAAGTGAGCGGGATGTACATAGCCAGGCAGCTGAGCTTCTCAGGGGTGTCTTTCCGCATTGAAGAGATCGGACTGGACAGCGACTTCAAGCTGGTCTACAATAAAGCCGCCAAACTGGTAAGCGTCACAACCCAATGTAATCATCACATCGAAGAAATACCGCTTTGACTTCACAGCATTTCTTCCTTTAGTGGGCGGAGGCACTTCAGGTCTTTGTGCGCGCCGCCGACGAGCTGGGCCTGGTCAGCAGGAAGTCCCTGTGGGGCCAGTTCTGGTCGTCTCACCAGCGCTTTTTCAAATACCTCTGTATAGCTGCCAAGGTCCGCTGCCTGGTGGAGTTGGCCAAGAAAGAGCTGGAGGCAGGAAAGGTCAGCACAAATCGCAGTGGAACGCCGAGTCATCAAGTTTGCACACTGTGTGGAAATAACCAGAGATTCAGACAGGAGAGAAAAATTGCACATATTGGTGCGGGGGTGGGCTCTCTCCATTTTCTCTCACTCTGGCTTCCTCACACATTCCAGAAACATGCATGTTAGGTTCATTCGAGACTGGAACGCAAGTGCATATTTTTCTATGTACCCGGCTGGCGACCAGTCCAAGGTACACCCAGTCTCGCTGAAAAAATAAACCGGTGTAATCTTCAGCTCACCCACAACTCTGATGAGGACAAGCACCAAACAAAGTGGATATTTAAAATTTTTAGTCATTGGTTGATGTATGTTTGTTACTCTCTTGACACAGTGCATCGTCATTGGCCTGCAGTCTACTGGGGAGTCGCGCACCAGAGAAGTTCTGGACGAGAATGACGGTCATCTTGACAGATTTGTTTCTGCTGCAGAGTGAGTGAGCCCATATTCTTTGGTTTTTAAACTCATTTTTCTCTGTGTTAGGCCGTCAACCACCCTCACACCCTTGGGCAGAATCTGTCCACTTTTCAGATATCAAAACACACATAGCATGTTCATCTACATGCCAGCACCTGACAAACGGGGAATGAATCTTGAGCTGCTTTCTGTGGCCCCCTAATAGCTTCACTCTCTTCCTTCAGGGGAGTATTCCAGTCTCTTGTTACCAAACATTTCCCTTCTGAGAAGCAGCGGAGAGAGAAGGCACCCGGGAATAAGAGAAAACGTAAGGCCACATTTGTTCCCATTATTATATTGTGGAAGAAGGATTTAAATGATGTAAATGTGTCATAGGAGAACCTGTAAAGGCAGATAGATGCCAAAGTGGACAATCTGGTCAAAAGTCTACGAAAGGAGTACAGCCCATCATCTATGTTAAAATACATTGACGATGTGGATAAAAGTTGCATTTAAGTAAGAAAGAAACTGAAGCAAATGTTTATTCCAAATGTGTATTCCAGGATTGTATGATGTGTTTTCTATACATTTAATGCTTGTGTTTGTTTGTATTTTTTGTATTTGTTAAAATATATTCACGATGTGTTTAAAAAGTATGTTTTTTGATCGGTTTAAATATGTTTTAAGGTGTGTGGGGAGGAGTATTCTCAGGTTTCATCTGCAAAAAAAAAAAACGTGATACATCATCGGTTGCTCATAAACTTTGGGAACACTGTATGGTTGATTAGCAGTAAATTATACCACAGTTCACCTTTCTGTACACTTGTAAGACAGTGATGAATGGTGAGTGTGAATTTAAACATTGAAGCGTTGATCGAAGCATTCACGAAGGCGCCCATTTGAGTTTGGAACAAATGAATGTACTTTACAAGATTTGCTACGGAAAATATTGTTGCTGAGGGAATTGTGTTCAACTTTGAAAATTCCGCTGTATCCGTTCAGACTCTGGGCATCATTTTACCTAAAAGTGTCCTGCTGCTTTAATAGCCCACTCATGTAATCTTCAGGTAAGCCTCGAGGACGCCATCCAAAGGTACCCAAGCACACAGTGGACAGCGTCGGCATCATCAGCATCAACAGTGACGACAGCAGCACCGACTCTGACGGCATGGACACCGATTCCAATTCGTCTCCAGACTCGCTGCTGGATAATGACGATGTCATCTTTGTCAACCACACGAGCTGCCACACTGGTGGGTGTTTTTGTTTTTGTTGTCATGGTGAAATCACACCCAGCACTATGCCTCACATTGTCCCCTGGGGATTTCCAGTCAGGATAGAGGAGATGAAGCAGGATCTCCTCAACAAGATATCACAACTGGGAAAAGAACTACCTCTCAACACCCTGGACGAACTCATTGATAAGTTCGGAGGGCCCGATAAAGTCTCAGAGGTGCGAGTCTGAAACATGCAACAGGTTTCGAGTCCAAATAATCACGATTAATTTTTTTTTAAAATCATTGTCAAACAGATGACCGGGCGTAAGGGTCGTGTGGTGCGGCGTCCTGACGGTAGTGTCCGTTACGAGTCCCGCGCTGAGCAGGGCCTCACCATCGACCACATCAACATCAAGGAGAAAGACCGCTTCATGAGTGGAGAAAAAGTCAGTTTCATGTGTGCTTTTATTATTGGAATTTGTTCAAATTACTTTTCTGGAAAATGCCATAGTGCCACATACAGAAGCCAGAGAGAAATTTATTACCCTGGATCTGTAGGAGGTGCGTTGAAAGGGCAAGAGTGGAGGTAGAAAGATACCGTGGACCAAATATGTCAGTCGACTGCACTAATCTTCATTAAAGTTGCCATTAACATGTAACTTAAGATCATCTGGAGTACTGCACAGGAAATATGAAATCGTTGGGAGTGTGTTCATCTGCCTGTGTAGGTGCTGCTGTTTTAGTTAGCAACAGGGTTCAAATTGATTCGTATGTCGATATGTGAACAAAAGTGTCTCTACAATAATACTTTTTTTCCTGATGGAAAAAGGGATGCTGTATATGAGGGAGGTGTTTGTATTTAATTAGATGGCACGCCCAGCAACTAACTGATTGCTTCTATTTGAGGAAATAGGGTGTTCATTTACAGCGTCAGAAATAATACAAGCAAGTCTGGTGCTATACATTGTTGCCATCCATTGCCACCATTTCTAGTTGATGTACTCTTCCTATTTTCGATATGCGCCTCCATTGTTGTGTGACATTCCCATTAAGTTACCGTGGCGTTAATCTCCCTCAAACTGTTAAGTGTCATTCCATTTCATTTCCTAGTCGGGTCTCTAAGATGTACTTTATACAATGTAATCCAAGTGTTTTTCTCACCCTAGCTGGTGGCCATCATCTCCGAGGCGGCCAGCTCTGGAATTTCCCTGCAGGCGGACAAGAGGGTAAAAAACCAGCGGCGGCGTGTCCACATGACATTGGAGCTACCTTGGAGCGCAGACAGGGCCATTCAGCAGTTTGGTGAGTCCAAGTTTAGTTCAAGTGTGTGTACAATTTGGCTCTGCAGGAGGTGGCTGTGTTTTCTGGGGTGGGCGGGGGGCTAAGAGGTGGCTAAAACATCCATCCATCCATCCATTTTCTAAACTGATTATCCTCATGAGGTTCGCAGGCGTGCCAGAGCCTATCCCAGCTGACATCTGGCAGTCGGCAGGGTACACCCTGAACTGGTCGCCAGCCAATCACAGGGCGTGCAAAGACAAACAACAACCGTTCACACTCACAATCACACTTAGAGACAATAAAGAGTGTTCGGTTGACCTACCATGCATGTTACTGGAATGTGGGAGGAAACAGGAGTACCCAGAGAAAACCCACGTAGGCATGGGAAGAACATAAAGACCCCACACAGGCAGGCCACTGCCTAGATTCAAACTCATGACCTCTGCACTGTGAGACGGGCGTGCTAACCATTTTTTCCCCTGGGCCCCCCTGTTGACTAAAACAATGCAAGATAAATGCTTTTGATTTATCTCACACAGTGGAATGTTCATTTTTCATTTGACTGTTTGTTTGGGACATTAAGTTTTCAATTAGTCAGAAAGAATATCTGCCCGCTCTGCCCATTTTAAATAATTGTGAATTGTAAATCTCTAAGGGATTTATTGTTCGCAGCCGTTGTGCTAATGACTCAATTCATTATTTCCATTAGTGCCGCATGTCTGTCTGTGAGCGTGTATGATTGTGTGTGTGTGTGTGTGTGTGTGTGTGTGTGTGTGTGTGTGTGTGTGTGTGTGTGTGTGTGTGTGTGTGTGTGTGTGTGTGTGTGTGTGTGTGTGTGTGTGTGTACGTCTGCATGTATGACGAGCCATTTACTGAAAACCACGCTTCGAAAACATGCATGTTAGCTTGATTTCAAGGCTGCTGGTGTTTAAGATATGTTTAGCTTAATTGGATTGTATCGTTCCAACTGTTAATCACGTCGAAATAGTTGCTCATGTTTGAATTTTGTTTTTCAGGCCGTACCCATCGGTCCAATCAAGTAACAGCTCCAGAGTACATCTTTCTCATCTCGGAGCTAGCCGGTGAGAGACGTTTCGCCTCCATCGTGGCAAAGAGACTTGAGAGCCTGGTAAATATTCCGGTTGTGTGTGTGTGTGCGTGTGCATGCATGTGTTGCGCATTCAGCTGTGTCATAGGAAAATCCTATGTTTCCTCAATGTCGTCTCATTGCGTAAGAGGGGTTTGCGATTGCAGTTTGCGTCTTTGGCCTTGTTGCCTGTGCTTCCTGTTCCTTGCTTGGGGCTAAATTTACACAACAAGCCGCAATTCCGGAATGTGGAAAAATTTGGATATGCGTCATGGAATTGGATAACTGATAAAATCAGGCCTCTTACAGATGTGGATAAAGGCCAGATTTTAATGCGATGCGCCAATGTGACATGCAAACAGACACATTAGATTAGCAGTTCTCAAACTAGTGGGTTTGATAGTCCACAAAATGATTGGCAATAAATTATATTTTATCGTTTAAAAAAAAAAGTGTATACCTGAATATGAGGACCAGAACAAACATACCAAACCAAACAGAGAAATTACTCTGCCAACTACCTTTTTAAAATGTTAATTTTACTGGTAATTTAAAAAAGTGATTTGCCTTCCACGTGAAAAGAAGTTATTTGTTATACATACCTACCACTACATGCCACTGGCACTTCTTCTTCTTCTCCTTACGGCACATCCCTATTCAGGGGTCGCCACAGCGAGTCAGTAATTTCCACCCGCCCCTGTAAACCGTCCTACCAACTCGCATGGTCGTCTTGGCAAAAGTTTTACGCCGGATGCCATTCCTGACGCAACCCTCCCCATTTCTCCGGGCTTGGGACCGGCACTGGGGAACAGTGCACCCCCAGGGGAGGGCACTGCCCCCCAGCGGCTGGGTCAATTTTGATAATAATAGTAATTAAAAATAATGCTATCAATATACTTTCACATTTACCGACAAGAAAATTATTTTGTTTTGTTGTTTTTAATAAATCTACAAATACCGAGCCGAAAATCCGTGACCACAAAACCCAGAACCAAACCGTGGATTTTGTGAACCGTTCCACTCCTACATGAAATGTATGTCAACAACTCCATGGATATTTCAGGTGATGAGTAACTTAACGCACTGGCAGCAAGTGTGGGTCACTGTAGCATACACGTTATTAGACCAAATCAGTTACACGGAAGGTAATGACACTAAATTGCAATTGCGCACTTAGACCTGGCACTGTAAATCCGGACTTTGACTCTCAAGGGTTTGTCTCATTTCCCTTGACTGGATAATTTACAAGCCGATGGTCACTTTCCATGAGGCACTTCAGCGACAAGTTCAATTTGTAGAGTGACACAGCACGACAGAAAAAGACACACAAGCGGGTGGGCTCGCGGGGACGTCCATTCCAGGAAGCCACAGCTGTGTTTGCCAAGCATGTTCGGTAAATCCGTGGGTCATATCCCACGTTCCCTGTGCTCAGCTTATGAAATGTTTACTCACACATACACACATGCTTTTAAGTCTGCAGCTGACCACCTTTGCCGACTGACTCCATATCACCAGTGAAGACATCCACTAGCAAGCTAGCTTTGTCGATTGTCTTTCACAACCTTTAACTTCTGCACAGTGGATATGAAAGTGGGATGGAAAAAGGACATTAGTGACCTCTCGGTCACATTGCTGACTGGGACTGAAGTTCAAGTCCAAGTCAACTTTATTGTCAACTGTGCTACATGTGCAACATACAGCACAGATGAAATTACTTTCCTCTCAACCACAGGAGAGAGAGGAGCCGCTGCGGGTGCCCGTGCCGCCGTCACACATACATGAACACTATTTTTAAAAGAAAAAGAAAAATGTTCTGTGGGTGCATAGCGGCAAAACATAACCATGTGAAGTTACTATCATAATACTCATAAATGTCCCAAGACGTAAACCACAAGATAATGTGACAAAGTATAAATATGTTTTCGGTAACACTGTCTAACGAAAGTGGTGATCTCACTTCAAATTGTTCGCATTAGATCATTCTGTGGTGTTCTTGTACTCCCAAATCATGATGATGGTCTTCCTGTAATTTGTTTGATGGTGTTAATGCTAGCAAAAAAAAAAAAAAGTTGACACTCGTTCTCTCTGCAGGGCGCGTTAACACATGGAGACAGAAGAGCGACTGAAACCAGAGACCTGAGCAAGTACAACTTTGAGAATAAGGTAGGTTAAGGATGCCTGGGAGTAATAATCTCATACTCAAGCGGGAACATGATTTTCAGCACTTAGTTCAGGTCACAATACAGTAGCACCTCCAAAGTGAAACAGAATCCCTTCAGTGAGGTAGGTTAGCTTCCAAATTTTTCACATGGCCCAACACGTTTCCCATACAAAGTAATCTGAAGTGAATACATTTGTTTTGTCTTAATCTGTTGCGATCACAAAGCCTTAATCAGGTGAAGTGGCAAATTTACCGTTCTGTTAAAAATAATAATAATTGTTAAAGGATATTTTAATAAAACCAAAGTCAAACCACCCATCATTTGCAGCCCCCCTGACATACACAATGGAGAGTCGACAAACAGGAAGTAGTTAATTAGCACGCTTCTCTGGTCATTTATATTTTAGGACTCCCCAAACACAATGCCCATAAAGTCAATCCAAAGTGCCCCCAGGAAACTTTGAATGGGAATGGAAATTAATATACTGTTTGGTTGAATGGATGTAAGGTAAACGATATTGAATTAAATGCCTTGCTCGTAATTGAGAAACCAGAGCCTTTCTCATGTCACACTCAATTTAATTCACGGTTTTATGTTTTGTTTTGTTTTGTTTCGTTTTTTTCTTTGCAATCACTGGTACACTTCTGTGGTGGCATTACAAAATAACACAGCAAAGCATGCTTGTCAGTCACTAAATGTTGCAAGATTGCAAGTTTGAACTCCCGAGGTTTGTTTGACTTTGTCTGCTATTTTTGGCTTGAGCCACTTTTTAGGTTGTTTCACTTTGGAATTTCCCCTGTACTCTAGACCTTAATTATCTGTTTCTTTATTAAGTATGTCTCCCGTGCATTCATCCTGTATTGTCTGATTCTGCGTACTTTCCATTCATTGTATTGTAACACGAGGTGGATCAATCAATATGCTCTTCCTCTTTGTAGTATGGTACCAAGGCTCTGGATAAAATCACCAAAGCAATCCTGGGGCACATAGAGAACAAGGTGCCTGCGCCCAAAGGTTACCCTGGAGGCGACGCCATGTTCTTCAGAGGTCCGTGTTTGTTAACATTCAAGAGAGCACAAAGCTCAACATGTTTTTAACCGTCCGTCTTTTTCCCTTGATGCTAGATATGAAGCATGGAATGATGGATGTGGGCATCTTCTGTAGGGAGCCACGCTTTGGCATCAGTACAGAGAAAGGTCAGTAGTAGAAATGCTCAAGGAGGCACATTCCAGTTTGTCATTCATCATTTTTTTTTCTCTTTTTTTTTTAAATTTCTTTATTTTTTAAATTCCAGATTGCAGCATTACCAAATTCCTAAATCGCATCCTGGGTCTCGAGGTCCACAAGCAGAACCATCTCTTCCAGTACTTCACAGACAATTTTGACTACCTAATTGAGAAGGACAAGAAAGAGGGCAAATATGACATGGGCATCTTAGGTGCACACTTTAAGTTCACTGCGGAAATGCGTCATTTGGAGAGGAAAAAAAAGTCCTATTCTCTTATTTTGTTTTCCTTTCTTTCATGCTGGCCAACAGATCTGGCTCCAGGTAATGATGAGATTTACGAGGAAAAGCAGGAAATCTTCATGACAGTGGGAAACCCTCAGGATGGCCAGGTGGTTCTTTACAAGGTAGGAACCACAGAACCTCAACGGGTGTGAATTGACGATATGTCTTAATGCCGATTTCCCATTTGAGCTGAGTTAGTGTTTTTTTTGGAGGTTGGATATGGATCCAGTGTTCAAGTGACTTGACATTTTGAGTTTTTCGACATGGAAGCCATCACTCGTACAATTATTTTGTCTCGGGTCGCAAGCAAGAATTCAAGTTATCAGTGCAAAACGGCGGTAGATAACTCCACAACAAGCGGCAGTGAGAATTGAACACAGTGCTTGCCTGGAGCTTTTTATTGAATTTCCCAGTTGAAGTTGAAATATAAAACAAAAAGACTTCCGCGAACCTACTGTACATTGGAACCTGAATCGTATTTCTTTTTTTGTCCCTGCAGATCAGTGTGGACAGAGGTATGCCTTGGGATGAAGCAAACAACAGGTTTCTCAGTCTCACTGGTGCTGACGAGGGCTTCTACTTGTCCCAGAAAGTGAGCCTATACATCAAGAGCCGAAACAGGACTTCACCCGAAAAGCTCCCGACTTGTAAAATTGACCACTTCTGTTGCTTTCCAGCTACGAGGTAGCCAGCCATGCGTGCTGCTCGCTGAGCAAGGGAGAGGCAAGAATTTCATTGTCTACAAGCCCAACATCGGCAAGCAGACTAACCCCGAAAGCCTTGAAAAGCTGCAGCAACGCTATCGGAAGGTGTGTTTGATTTTATGTGTGTTATTATATATACACTCAACTGACAGTCAAAAACACGGTAGTCCCTACCCAGATTGACAGAGCTGTCACAAAACACTGGAGGCACCAACGGAGACACACACCCCAGGCACAAAATATCAAATTATCGTAAATACATCCTTGGTTGTGGTATTGTAATTGAGCTCGGAATTTCTTCAATATTTCGCGTTTGCGCGGCAGCCACATGCAAAACCAAAAGCAAAAATCACAATTGCACGCCTTAATGATATTATCACGTATCAGTACTTTGTATCAGAGAATACTCAAATCTTAAGTCTGCATCTCTACTTTCTACACTGTGTAAGGCTAAATCGATTTGTATTAAACCTGTTGCCTCCTAGTGGTCATGGAAGCACATTGCAAAGCAAAGAAATTTGATTAAAATCAACTCTTGATTGTTTTTTTTGTTTGGTTTTTTTTGGGCTGTTTTTGTTTTGTGTGTGTAAATTGTGTAATGGTGATATGGCAATACGGACGTCTTCCCTTCTCCAGGCGACTCCAGAGGAGGTCAAGGACTACTGGGAGAGCCAGTTCAGCTTCTCTTTGAAGAAGTGTTGCCATGCCATCGGGTAACTAGGAACACAGACATGCATCTTTGGGATTACTCTGGATGTAGGCTGACACTTAATGGGATCCCATGGTGGACTTTGTCCAGGGAGGTGTCTTCTCTAAGGATTTAAAGGCACACACGAAACATTTAGTCATTACAAAATGAGCCCCAATACTTTGATGTACTCCCACATGGTGAATAATCATACAAACTCAAACGTAATCCAAGCAAGTCATGCAAGTGTAAGATGGTGTTTGCCATTTGAGGTTTTAAAAAAGCCAGAGTGAGTTAGGGTTGCGTATACGTAACGGTCCCCGTGGCCTCTCCGCAGTAACGGCAAATGCAAGAAGGTGGAGGAAGGCCAGGAGTGCTTCCAGGGCATGCGCCTCCGCCAGTACCACATGCTGTGCGGCGCTCTGCTGCGCGTTTGGAAGCGCGTGTCCGACGTGGTGTCTGACATCACCAGTTCCAGCATCCTGCAGATTGTTCGCCTCAAAACCAAGCAGCACAACAAGCAAGTTGGTGAGTCATAGTTACAGTTTCAATTTGCATTCTGATCATGAGAATTTATCAAGAAAATCTTTTGGGGATTTTTTTTTTTTCCCCCAGGCTGAAATGAGACCACTAAGGGTAGCGATTTTGACCATCGGTTAACATCTTAACTGATGTTTTAAATGTGAGAGACCTCACACATGACAAGGAAAAAAACTGGCATACTCTAGATGACCAGTACAGCACACTGCAAATTACCAATATTTGGTATATATAAGCTACCAAGACCTATCAGAGGCAGTACATGTAGAAGGGCATCTCTACAAGTAGACGACCAATGTATCCTCAAATGTTTCTGGCCTAACTCTTTATTTTTATTTTTGTCTGTAACACGTACATTTTCAATCTTGAGGCAGCACAATTCCACGGGGCTGACGCAAAATCAAGAAGTTTTATGATATATCTCAGACAGTGTCCGAGAGTGTTACTAGATTTGCTATCAAGGTATTTTCAGTTTTCTTCTTTAGATGTATCTAAAATTTGTAAGCTAAATTAATACAAGGTTTAATTTGCAGAGCAGTTTTTTTAAATCCATGACTTAATTTGAGGAGCAACTTTCTAGTTTTGTGCAGCTTTTTTTTTTTTTTTTTTTTTTTTTAATTTTTTTTTTTTTTGAAGTTTTTTTTTTTTTTTTTTTTTTTTTTTTTAAATTTTGCCAGCTTGCACTAACCAAATCCTCCCTGTTCTAGGCATCAAGATTCCAGAGAACTGTGTGGCCCGGGTACGTGAGGAGCTCTTGCTCATGGACGAGGAGGTGAAGCGGAGGCGCAAGGAGCGCGAGAAGCAAGCCATGGAGCAGCGTCTGGCTGAGGAGCGCATGCGCAAAATAGAGCAGAACAACAAGCACCTGCTGGCAAATCTGTCCAGCCAGAAAGTCATGCCCAACCAGTCCCTGGCCCATTCGCTGGTCCACAGTCAGCTCCTGAAGCAGAAACTGAACCCGCTGCAAAAGACGCAAGTGGCGAGCCTGTCTCAGCTGCAGAGGATGCAGGCCGTCTTACAGCAGCAGCAACAGCAGCAGCAGCAGCACCCACAGGGTCACGGTCTACTGTCTTTACCGAGGACAACTCCCCAAGTGACTCCTACCGGCTGGCCCGGCAAGTCGGCCGCCTCCAAGCAGGCGGCTATGCGCAACGCGGTCATCCACGGTTCAAACTTCTCCCAGTTTTACCAACAGTCCTTCGTATCCCACTTCTCACAGCCCCTCCCCATCCACCAGTCGGCTCGCATGTCTTCCCAGAAGGCCCAAGACGAGATCTTGGACCTGACCGTCAGCTCGCCGTCGCCCTCTCCGGACAGCACGGAGGCCGGGTTGGCCCTAGACGGTCTAGCGAGACCGACCGGAGCGTTCGCTGACGACTTTATCTTGGAGTCGCTCATCTCTCAGGCGGCCACTCAGCTACCACCACCGCCCCCTCCTCCGTCTCTGAACCACAACCACCTGAGAAACAACCACCAGGACTTGCTGGATCTATTCGACCTGCCCCTTTCGCCGCAGATGCCCGTGCATAAAGCCAGCCCTTCGTCCTCTGCCTCGTCCAGCTCCTCGTCCAACTCCTCCCTCATCCAAAGCTCGCTCTTCTCCAACCCGCCGTCCTCGTCTTCTTCCTCTCAGTTCGCCCCCCCTCGCTTCCCCAACTATCTGCCCCAGTCGGACTTACTCCCCCTGCCCAACGGCCACTGCAGCTCCGACGCTCTGGACGCACGCGAGGCTCTGAACAGCATGTTCAAGGAAGCGGGGACCGACCGCAAGTCCGTCATTCACTACCGCCAGCAAGACTGACACTTTTAACGTCCTCACAGTTTTTTGTGTGTGTGTGTGTGTGTGTGTAAGCAAATACTAGCACACATCCTCCGCTTTTGTCCGGGGACCTTCTAGTCAACATCACTGCCTGTCCTGCTCACAGTCTTCTCTCCAACCACCCGTAGCCATCGCCTGCTCCCAGTATCAGTTTCACGCACCCCATCGTATGTCCTCCACGGCAGCTGTAACGCAAACTTGACTTTACGGAACTATTCTGGAGCTGTCGAAACGAAACAAACAACAAAAAAAAAAGTCCTTTAACTGATTCTACGCTGGAATCTTTTTTTATTTTTATTATTATTATTATTATGATTATTATAATTGCTTTATTCGAGCGAGGCACTAAGTGGCAACAAACTGGAATATACAAGAGGAAGAAATCAAAGCTGACAAAACCGTGAAATGCCTCCTTTTTGTCCGTTTCGTCGCCCCCAACGACACGACACACTCCCTCTCTCTCCTTTGTGTTGGAGGAAGAGGAGGAGAGGAGGGAAAGCAGCAGTCTGCAAACAGTGCCTTTCTAAAAATCTATAAATGCAGTCTTTAAAAACAAAAAAACGAAAAAAAATCATGTAGCCTAATGTATAGATTTGTATTTTAATTTAAATATGGTATATTTGTATTTAACCTTTTTCGTCCCTTCGTGTTACACTATGCTGGTGGCGGGTTCCAAGGAGAGGCCTCAGTGAAGCCTCAACTGTGTGTGAGTGTGTTTATGTGTATGTGTGTGTTTATGTGTGTGACTTGCAACAACACCGACAAGCATTATGAGCAGAGGGTATCCAAAAATATCACTCTTGGGGGAGGGTGAAGGGATTCATTTTGAAACTGACGATACAGAGAGATTTGACTCCTGGTTTGACTTTATAAATTTCTCAGGACAGTCTCAAATGCTTTTGGTCTTGTTGTATGCCAGTGTCAGTTGGTTAGGATCATTCAGTAGACAGAAATGTCTCAAAAGAAACACCATTTGAGTAATACAGTCATACCTCGGTTTTCGATCATAATGCCGTTCCAGAAGGCTGTTCGAAAAGTGAGTTGTTCGAAATCCGAAACTATTTTATTAGCCCATGATTAGGGGCTAATACTCTATGCAGAAATGACAAAAAAACAGTCAGATTTGCGTAAATCACAACAAATACGTCTGCTCGCAATGAACGCTACACGAGGAAGCGTCACTTCCTCGTGTAAGGAAGCCGAGAGGAGTCAAGTGGCGTATTCGGGTTTGCTCAGTTTGGTCGAAAAGCGGTTTTCGAACGTAATTCGAGGCGTAAAAATCTCAAATTTTCTCGTCGAAAAATTTGGTCAAGAACAGAGACGTTCGAAAACCGAGGTTTGACTGTACGTATTTCCTTGTCAACCAGGTGAAAAAAAACTTTTGGAAGAGCACCCCCTATTGTTCAAATGACACATTGTCGCTCTCCAATGTATTTTCACATTTATGAAACATGATTTTATTTTTTATTTATTTTTTTGTTGATAAAGAAAATAAGCCCCCTTAACATCTCACATACGCATTAGAGCCATAGGTCCAGACATTTTACCGCCTCTGCCTTTTACACAGAACCTCACTAAAGTGAGCGATATCCGCATCCTAGTCAGATTTAACACAGAGGTCCTCTCTTTGTCACGATGAAAGGGGAAGAATTCATTTTTTTTGCAGTTGGTATAAAAGTAGCAAAGTCGCCTTGTTGTCAACTTCATGCAAACCGCATTAAAGCCGTCACGCAAGACCCAGACGTTCCGGATAACCCCTTCCACATAACCTTAACTTCACACGCTTGTCCACCATCTCTGCTACCACTTTGATAGTATCTCAAAAGTCTTAAAACTTTCCCATTTGACTCAAGAAAGGTGGGAAAAGGCTCACTTCTACAGCAGTTAATATCATGGTTTTTTTTTCAGTACATGTAAATGTGACCCGACGAGTCAGATCACCTAATTTTGATTAATATTGCATTTGTGGAATATGACAAATCAATGTTTTTATCCATCTCAGCGAGCAACCAGTTTGCCTTGCACTGCCACTTTTTTTATTTTTATTTTTTTAATGTCGCCTAAAAATGACACCACGGTGCCTGAGGGCTCAGCTTGCAATTGTCACATGACCAAACTAAGAAAATCGGTGAGCCATGATTGGTCGTTACCTGAGCCGTTAGCGACCGTCATGTCATTTTTAGTTTACAGCAAGTGGCAAAATGGCCGACTGTATTTTACTGTTCATTCATATTCAACAAATGTAATATTTGTCAGAATGCCGGGACGATAAAGTGGTGGGCGCACATAGAACAGAATTGTAACTATTTTTTTTTTTTTTACTCCCCCTCTATTACAGCAACAGTTGCATATAAGACGTTGGTCACTTTTACACAGAGATTCCACAAAATCAGCAGTAGAATTGCAGCATCAGGATAGTGCCAGAAACCCCCAAATGTACGCAATATCTATCCACATAGGCATTATTTCACACCTTATCCCCAGAGTCATGAAATCCCCTTCCAAACAGGCAGCATCCCACCTCTGTCACGACTCTGATCTCCCAAGTCAGAGAATTGCTCGGCGGCCTTCCCTGTGCCGCCTGTGTGCCATTTAAGCAAAGCGACAACATGAAAAATGGAAAGGCAATTCTCCCAGATGTTGTAGTTTCACTAACAGCACCCTTGGCGATCCCGCCAAAATACCACGTCAGAGCTCTATGAAAAGACCGACCGAGCACGTTTGAACAATCGCTTTCGACGCAAATAAACGGGCGTTATTGGTTTTAACTGCACTCCGATTTCACGAACTCTGTTCCGGTTCCAAAACTCCGAATGCTCCTTAACTTCAAACCCCCCGTACATCCTTGTCTGGATAGCGACAATTGCTTTTGACGCAATAGGGTGAAAAAAAGTGTTAAACTCCGTCAAACCTAGAAGGCGGACCAAAAAATAAATCAATAAATAAACACCTTGTCTTTGTTTAACCCTTTCAGGGACAGCGGTCACTACAGTGGACAGCTTATCATGTTATCAGGTGACAGGGTGCAGGAAAAAGGGTTCATGTCAGAAAATTGCTCGGAATCATCACCAAATTTGACATGCACATCTCCACTCCAACCACTCAAAATGTCAATCCAATCGCCACAATATTCTGGATTTTATGGACCTGAAGTGTTTTCCTCATAAGGTGACATCAAGCTGTCCTCTGAAACCGATGAAAAGGAAGACGTTAATGTCTGCAAAATGCTCAATATTGGTGTGATCATTTTGATATTTTTTGGGCAGAGATTGAGCGCAGTTTTCTGCCATCAAGTGACGTGAAGCTTTTTGTGGAGAGGAAAACAGTTAACGGCCATAAAATCCAAAATATTGGGACGATTGTTTTGATATTTTCAAAGGATGAAATAGTCATGTGCATGTGATTTTATTTTTTTTTTAAATAACTGGTCATAATTTTCTGAGCTCAAACTAACATTATGGTTTGTTTGTTGTTTGTTTTGGGTTTTTTTTTTTTTTACACTAAAACTTTTATACCACAGGTGTCAAACATTGGTCCTTGCGGCCAGCTGTCGTACATATTTTCGATGTTTCCCTCCTCCAACACACCTGATTAAAATGATCAGGTCATCGGCGAGCTCAACAGAAAGCCTGATGATCGCGATCATTTGGATCGGATGTGTTGGAGTTAGGAAACATCTAAAACATGCAGGATAGCGGCACTCGGCGACCGGCCCCTCCATTAAGCCCGTGGCTAATTCTGTTTTGTCAGATTATGTAATGTCAGTGTTTCTTTTAATACACACGGATGTGATTCAAATCCATATAAAAGCCATAGACCGTTATCCAAAACTACGGAAAATGTGCGTCCATCCCTCCCCCCTGCATTGTTTCTTTGTAATCGGCGTGTGTTTGAATGGTGTCGCGCTTGGCTTTGCCGTCGATGTCTGCTGGTGCACATCGCGCGGTCGAAGCAATAAAATCCGGAAAGAAAAGTCGGTCGCGAACGCGGCGGCTCAAGTATTGTTTACTCTCACCAGGCGTGCGAATTTCCTCGCCGTTGTTTGATTGCATACCACCTTTATGTCATAATAGTGATAAAGATGTTTTTTTTAAATATTATATTTAAGGGATATTTAACTCTGTTCTTCTGCTTGTTCTTTAAGACGAGTCAAAACGTTTGGTCAGGGAAGACAAGTTCTATTCAAATCTGTCACCAAATATGTTTGCACTGTCTTGTGTCTGGATTAATTTCTGCTCGTTGTCCTTCATGGAGTTGGTTGCCCCCACCCCCCGCCCCCTCAGTGAGATACCAAAGTGTTTTTGTTGCCCTAAATTTACCATTTAACAATCTCAGGAAGAAATAAATAAACGTGGACGGGCGAGGGTGACATGAGAAATATTATTCCCCCTTATTAGCAGTGCTTAAACCAGCGTGTTTGTACTATACATGTACCATTTGCTCTTATGGGTGGCTTTATGTTTCAGGGCTGGGGAACCTTACTGCTGTCTTATTTCTTTTTTTTTTTTTTTTAAAGTATGTAGTACATTTGTGAAAACATGAGGCAATGAATGCGGGCTGTAGATTCCCCACCCTCGGTGTTAAGCTGTTGTTTTGGGATTGGATAATGTTAATGCCTATTTAGGGCAGCGCGGTATCATTGTTAGAAGTTTGTAAACATGTTTTGTTTGTTTGTTTGTTTGTTTTTTTCAAAATTCTAACATTTAAACCAGTTATGGGTCGGAGTCATGCAGCATTTATTTGACACTTTTTTTTTTTAACCCTCCTGTTACGTAAAAAAAATGGACCTGAAATGATGATCCACTCTGAATTTTTTGGGGTTAGTGGTTAGCACTCCAGCCTCAAAGTGGAGAGGTTCTGGGTTTGAATCTCCTGGAGTTTGCCTGTTCTCTGTTGACATGAAATCGAATACATGTGAGTGAGATTTCCACACCAGGTGGTGTATTGCCATTTAAATAAAAACATAATAAATCTATAAACTAATGAAATACAAAAAAAGCCAACTGAACAGGTTCTATTTAAAAAAGTATCATTTAAAAAAATATTTTATCAAAAGTTTTTTTTTTTTTTTTTAATGGCCCAATACGTGCCATTGCATAACAGGAGTGTTAAATGACATTTGAATTACTTTTTCCAAATATTCCAAAGGAGGTACATTCCGTAAGAAGCTTTTTCAAAAGGGCTTCCCCTTACTACTCCGCTAAAATATGTCACGTAACCCACAATGCGAACGTAATCCAATGATAAAAGGATACAGAGCACATGAATTGGCTACGTTAAACAAAAGTCGCTTGTAGTGTTTTACTGGACCCAGAAAAAAACTGCATCTGGACCTGTTTTGGGCCCCCTGCTTTTTGCATTGTTTTTTCCGTTGGTTGTCACATTGCACTAAGAATGGCATCATCACGTGACTCTCCCCCTTCTTCCAGCTTTGGCGTGTTGTGTTTCTTCTGGTCTTTTGTTTGATGGATTTGTATACTGTAACCATCCTTCCATGTTTCTCCACTGTTTGCATATTATATAAATCACTCAAATAATTTATTGCTAACAACAACAACAAAAAAACACAAAAACATGCTACTGATTGTATGTATTTTTAAACAAAGTCTATTTTTTCTGTACAAAAAAACAAGAGAAAAAAAGAGAAACTGTGTTCAGCACTTTTATTCTGGGTTTTTTGCTTTTGTTTTTCTATATATTTATAATTTAGATCCAAATGTATATATTGTAAAATTTGTGCCTTTTGACTAATTCTTTTCAAAAACAAAATGACAACAAAAAGTGGTTTTCTACTCATTAAAGGAAGGACTATATGAAATTGCAATCTTTGTTCAACAAATAAAAACTTGCAGATTGCTGAAACTCAAGAGTGTCTTCTGCTCATCTACACAAAAACAACATATTGTATCATTTCCCCAAATGCTTTCCCAAGGCTGTTAGATCCGTGACTGTTGCAATAAATAAAACAAAGAACTAAGCAGTTTAAGAGATGGAAATTAATTTGCACGCAAGTACATTGTAGCTGACCAGTTGCTTCTGCACCAAAGCATTACAATATATATATTTTTTTAATAAAACAGGTTTACTCAAATGTGTCTAATCTTTTTTTCACCCACGATTGTCTTAAAAACATTGAGACTTAAAACTCAAGGTGACAAAATGTCACACAGTGAGGGAAGAGGTGGAGTTTTCTAACACTTCTTGTTTTACAATGCTACAAAATAGATGGTTAAATTAAAAAAAATAACCTACAAAAAATGTCAAACTTTTTTCACCAAGTACAACCTTTAAAAATATAGATCTCACAAGTATCACATTTATGAACGCATTGAAATGTATTCAGCTCCAGAAACCTGGTTTTATTCCTTAAAATGTATTATTGTAAACCACTGTAACATTTTGCAGTTTGAAAATGTAAAATATAGGTTTTTATGAGTATACAAAACAAATGTACAAATGTAAACAAACTTACCGATAGATATATGTTTTTAAACAAACCGTTTTTAAAGATTAAATGTAATTAATGTTCTTTAAACATGGACTGTACTGAACATTTTTTAAATTACTAAACCGGGTTAAAGAGAAATAAAGAAGCTTTGGGCACAGTTACGATCTTAATTCTATTATTTTTGACTACTTCATGCTTTGAAGGTTGTAAATTTAATTTGTGCTTAATTCTGTTAATTATTTTTTCACGTGCCACTCCAGGGAGCTCAGGTCCCACTCTTGCCTTGACTTTTACCGCCCTCTCCTGGAAGCAATGTGACACTACAATTTAATTTAACGACGGTACACGTAATCTTTGGAACGACATTCTTTGCCCCTGAATGGGAATGCGTTAAACACAACTTATAAATCGTTCACTATCAACATTTATCACTTCAAGTCATAAATCTTGTCTTGAAGTCATTTGAATTATATAAATAAATAAAAATACAGCACTCAAACACTATGTGAGTACTTCCGCAACAATCTAAGACCACGCCCTTTTCTGCGGCCAACCGCGTCAATTCTACCTGTCCTAACAAGCCAGGAAGATTTAAAAGTAAGCACGGTGATGTCGTGCTGAGACGTCCACGCCAAAACTTTGATCGTCAATCGCACAAACCGACGACAGTGAGCGAGTGACATTTGAAGGAGGATTTTGCGCGGCGGGAGCGGGTTCGACGAAAAGTTGGATCGGTGTACAATCCGGAAGTATTACAGGTAAAACCAGCTTCTTTCGCCTGTCATATCTCACCGTAGTCTCCTTAAATAAATTAAATAACGATTAAAAAGTTGAGCAAATTATGATAAGAAGTCATGTTTGTTCACTTTAAAGATATTTCGTTTTTCTTTAAATACCTTGAAGTGTTTTTCGTCCTCGGAACACGTGACGAAAGTGTAGATGAGAGTCTGTTTTATCTTAGATCATTTTGAAACGCTTTTTTTGTGCGACAGACCCTGTTCGTTTCATTATATCTTATTTTTGCTGTTAGTTTCATTATATGTTATTTTTGGACTGTATATCAGGGAACTTAAAGTTTGGTTTGGGTATTAGTCTGCAACCACGTTTGCGGTCCATGTGATGTTTGACAACTGCCCGTCATCCTCCTCATCCGGCTCTTCTTCTCGCATTTCTGGTTCTCCAAGCGCTAGGCGCAAGTTTCTACCTGCCTCAAACTGAGTTTCACAATAGTTTCGACTCATAAACAGCTGTCTATTTGTATTCCGTACATACTCCTGCCTTTTTCTTCACCACCTCCACCATTTGATTATTTTAAAGTAAAACAATGGTAGTGACATTTTGTGCAGTGACGACCTCCATTTTGTGTCATGGTTCATCCATCACAAGGGTAGAAGGGGCAAATGAATATATTTTTTTTTTAAATTATTTGTTGCTTACACTTACCTCCTCCACTCCCTCTACGTTTGGATAGTTGATTAACCCTCCTGTTATGGTGTGGGTCAAATTGACCCATTTTGCGTGGTCAGGGCCAGCAAGGTCTTCGCTGCGGTTACCTAAACTCAAATACTTGTTTAATGAAATTGACATACCGGTAATTTATTTCCAACAGGTGAAACAGTGTACTTGCAGTTTGCACATCCACCACACAGTTCTGAAAGATTAATGGGTTTGAGTGCCACATTCCAAAAACATGCTAGTTTCACTGAAGTCTCTTACTTGCTCATTAGTGTGTGTGGGAGTGTACATTGTTGTTTTTATATACTGTATGTGCCTTGTGATTGACTGGTGACCAGGCCAGGGTGCAACTCTCCTCTTGCCCCTGAGTCAGCTGCGCGTCTGCTCATCCGAGGTGCAAATAGGATTAAGTGATATACAAACTCGATGGATATTCCCATTTTGGCCGCAATACTTCCAGTACATGTAGTTGAATGATAGATTTTGTGCGTGTGTGTTAAATAAGATTTCAGCCTCTGTGTTGCCATGTCAATCTAATCTGCCTCGAGCTTTCCCAATCAGTCGTGCAGGCCAATTTAACTTAAACTATATTAGGAATTGGATTCTTCCCCAATCATATTTATATGTGTCCTCACAGGGTCCTCAACCAAAACCTGCCAAAACTACCGGTAACTGAAATTTAGAAAAAAGTAGCCTCCATTACCAGTTTCGCAGATACAGGTGGACTACAGCAGACATTAATATCTTTACAGGATAGTAGGACATACAAAAAAATTTTCAAGACTCCATGTATGAAGTTGAACAGAAGGTATTTGGCCAAATAAGCCCCAATTGGAAGGAGTTAACTGAGACATGTCAAACCTTTTTGCCTAGATGACATCATATGTGGCTAAGGGGTGTAAAAAATTTGAAAAAAATAAGGAAAAAGTGACGTTGCATTCTAAACATGCTCTGTAACCATCTAGTAGCTCGACCACTCATAGCCTCATGCCGATACTCTCGTCGAAAGTCAGGAATAGATTACATCACGCTGAGCCAGTGCACCTCTAGGCTATTAAATGCGTCATTGTTATCTTGTAACTTGAATTTTATAGCAGAGTTAACCTGAGCACCAGTGCGAGTGGCTTTCTGCTCCCTTCCTGGCTGTGATGCAATAAAGAGGAGGGACTTGTACTATACATGGCATCTATTCATTCAAGTGTTTGTTTTAGTAACAGTAGTCCCTGTCAGATCCGTTTACTCCCTTTGAATGATTAATTAATGAAGTGCCAGGTTGGCCAGCTGTGCGTTCAAGGAAACCGCAATGGTGTTTAGGAGCTGTGCACTTCTGCCAATAGGGGCAGCCATGAATCACTTCTGAGCAATCCGTAGCACATTTGTTCTACGTAATTTAAATTTGGAAACAAACAGAAACAATTTGAAGAAGTTTGTGTTTGAAGGATGATTGCAAATGGCCAAAATGTGTCTCTTCGGGATGAGACCGTCATTACAAACAGATGTTTGGTCAAGAGCTCACCTTGTGAATTGAGTCGGGGTTTGTTTTGAGGCTTAATGGCAAAGTCGTCAAAGTTGGCCATCGTGCGCCATCCCTTTGCAATGCCAAAAATTTCAAATCCTCACTTTCATCTAATGACACCGGTAACTCACCCCAAAATGGCTGCTTAAAAACCAAAATGGCAGACTTCCAATCTCTTTTCAGACACAGTTTTGTGAGACTTTATAATGTGTCTTTTCATGACAGTCACATCCGCCAAATAGAATGTTGCTCAGTGAAACTGGCACATGATTGGGATGAATTTTCAATCTATTCCTAGGGATGCTAGTTAGCTCACTTTGGGGGTGTTTGCACCTGGAACAGATCTCAAAAAGCTGATTTATTTGGCTTGAGACGACAGTTACAGTGGCAATGAAATGAGGCAGTATCAAGGCCGTCGCTTCACTCAAAGTGTGTCACTTGCAAATGTTCTTAGTATAGAATAGTAAACATTTCTTTGATCACGACTTCCCGTGTGCTGTGAAGGCACCCGAGAAGCTTTACTCTGGCAAACAGCCTTTCAATTATTAACAGTCCAACGCTCTCATTCCGCCGTCGTAACCATAGCGCCCGGCGCACTCAAACCAGCCTTGTGGGAAAAAGTCTCAAAGTGGGCCGAGAAGCTTGCATACCTTTGAGACTTGGAGCAGGCTGATCTCTGTGATGAATCCAAAGGGCATGGACTGAGCTCGGAATATGTTTTTTTTTTTTTTTTCTTCACCTTGAAAAACTGTGCGGTCGTCAAGTGGATTTGCCGCCTGTAAGACAACAGGGTTGTCATTCGTCTTCGTCATGAAGGCGACCCAGCGGATGAAATTAATGAAGCACTTTGGTGCTGTGCCGCCTGATCCGCCGCCGCCTCTGCTGGTGGTGCCCGTAAGTTCGAGCTGTTGGTACATTTGTTGCTGACGCCAAAACGGAATTTGCATGCAGAAAAAAAAAATATGAATAGATCCATCCATCTGTCTATCCGTCCTCCAAATAGCATCCTCACTATTGGATGGAAAATGATTCGTCACCGTCTGGATGTAGAATCTTGATTCAAATAATTTTAGGAAAGGGTGGGGGGAGGGGGTGATTACTCAGCTTTTCACCAAAGTTAACCCATCAAAAGTGGAACAATTTCAAGTTTGACAAAAGTGTTCTGGATAAGTATGGCTCAACATTCAAACAAAACCGAGCATAGCTGGATATCGTTAAAAAGTTAACAATTCTACGATGCTTAATGCTACTGCTTAGCGATCCGGTAATTTACCTATATTGATGTAGTTTTTGGGGTTTTTTTGGTTTGTTTTTTTCCCCTTTTGAAGAAACACACCAAAATAAAAAATATTCAACTTAACCGCTGGGGCTCGGATGGTAGCCACTGTTGCACCAATACCGAACCCACACATAAAAAAAAACTTTTGAAAACTATTGGGTTACACGGATGGATGTTTTTATATCATACCATGTGTCATAGCGTAATATGATCACGCAGCACGGCACTGGCATAGGAAGGTGTCACAGGTGTCTTTTTTGCACGATGCTACAGTAGGGCGAGCTTGCTGAACTCTGATTTTGAAAATGCATCTTAGACAGTTCATTTCATTACTAGTTAAAAAAAAAAAAACTACCGTAAATCCACTCCAAAATTCTGTATATTGAAATAAAACCACCCCAATGTGCAGATTAAGAGACTATTCAACTCCAGTCAACATCATATATTGCTAAATCCCCCCCAAAGCTGCACATTTTAAAATAAGCATACCGTTAAAGAAAAAGTATGCGTAGAAATAAAATTATCGTGAATAATCCCACAAAAATAAAATCAAGTCAAAATAAGACTACCATAACCCCACAAAAATGAATATATATATATATTTCCCCCCCTATCCCCCAAAACATACATGTTGTAAAAAGACAACAGTGAACCATCACATTTTCATGCTTCGACATTGTTGAAGTTGCCTATTTGCACATTTTTCAGCGGAAACGGATTCTTCTGTTATCCGCCGAAAAACATTTTTGGTATTTTAAATCCAGTCGCCTTGTGTTACAGTATTTTCAAGTCAGAGCGACTTAAAAGTCAACTATGTTGTCTTTAGTTTGACCCGGTGGTCATTCAGTGTTTAATGGAGTGTACGAGGAAGTCGCCGCATGTGTGGTCAAAGTGCATGTTGGGGGGGAGGGAGGAGCGCTTCCTAGGTGAGTCCTCCTGCCCCACGCCAGCGCCCGTCATATCTTTTGCCCGTCACCGTGAAGGATCAGGTTTCTGGAGCTGCACGAATGGCCCTGTGGGTTGTGTTTGCGTGTGGAATATGATCATCCAGTTGTGCCTTCGTGGTAGTGTTGTTGTGGTGGTTGTTGGGCTTGGCGATCCCAGCGGGAAATGGAAGTGAGGTTCAAAGAGCACGGGGTGAGTGCAGTAAAACGGCAATCTGACACGACTTGCTAAAGACACAAAAAGACAAAGAGAAATAGGATTTGGTCAATATTTGGGGAAGATTATGAATTGAGCAGTCGTCGTCGTTATTTAAATCAAATGTCAAATCAGTTTTACAAAACGAAAGCATGGCGCATACTCGAACTGGGTTATCTTGCATGCTTGTTTGCTACTGTGGTTGTTGAACTCACATTTAGAAATGTGTTTATTTTTCTTGGCATTACTTGGTCTGTCTTATTTTTTTCATTTTTTTAAAAAGAATTTTACTTTTCCAATGTAAATTTCTTATTGGTTTGTCTTTTTGCTTTATTTGGCTTTTATCTCAGTCTTGATTTTTTTAAATTATTATTTTTTTAGGTGTTTAATTGTTTTGGGTTTTTTAGGCTATTTACAATGGTATTCTTTTTTTGTGTATGCATTGTCAAATTTGATTTTAAAAAATTATGTCATAAATATTTAATGGATATTTTTAGCTTATTTTATTATCTGTTATGCAAGATTTTATTTTATTATTGTACTCAAAGTATTTGGTTAGATTTTTTTTTTTTTTTAAACACTGGAGTGCAACTTACTTTTAGATACACGTTAGGTTATTTAAGATTCATATTGTACAAAACACCATCCAGGTACGGGGCAAAGTTCTTTTCATAACAGGACAATAAAATAAAAGTTGTGTGTGAAGTGAAAACGAGAAAATGGAACTAGTCAACAAATGCCTTGTGCTAAGAGAGGCAAGTTTCCCTTTGAAAACATAACAAGGTTGGGGGGAGAGAAAAAAATCTGTTTCTGTTTGAGCAGCAGGGTTATTTTTATTGCTGTTTAGGTTGATGATTAACATACTAACATACAAATGGCCTACTGTTCACTGTGGTCACATCTACCAGCACAATTGTCCCCGTCTTGTGCTCTGTGCAATTACTCACATTTTTTCTCCCTACTAACTGTCCCTTTTTAACGTCAATGTTGTTTGTTTCTTCTTACCATGTCAGTATCGGCCTATGTCAACGTCTTCAAATCAACTAGAAAGCTACGCTCGCTATGATTTATCAAGGTGCCACGAAGAGAGTAGTTTGTAGGAATGTTCGATGCCACTTTTTTCAGACCGAAACCAGTTGAAGTAGTCAACTCCTGAGTCGGAGTGGACCATGTTTGTCCCTCCATTGTTGTGGCGGCTGACTGGTTGCGGCCACCCGAAACTGTTGCTGGACCCCAACCGGTGAGGGTTGCCGTCAAACTGAAGGAGCCTATTGGGCCTCAGGAGGTAATTGCTAGGTAACAGCTGTCCAGAGGGTGCGCTCCAACTATAGATGGATCACACTCCTCGGGGGTGCTGGAGAGGAGGGTCCTTAGGAAAGTTTAGCCTCCGATTCAGGAAGAGCAGTGTGATTTTTGTCTTGGCCGTGGAACGGTCGACTAGCTCAAGACACTTGGCAGGGTCCTTGAAAGTTCACAGAAGTTCGCTCAACCAGTCTACATATGCTTTTATTCAAATTATTATTTTTTTTAAATAATCTTTCAAATCATTTTCTCGGGTTTGCAACATTTTGGATTGGAATTGAGCAGGATGCCCTTTTCCCCAAGCTATTTTTCTTTGTTTTCTCTTGAATATAGAATACATATTTGGAAAGTAGCTTTGCTCCAACTGGGTCTCTGTTCTTCCTAATTTGATAGGAAAAACAGCTCTCCAAAGATTGGTGAAATCCTCACATGGGGGAATATTGTTGCCGCAGTTTCTCATTGTGTTGGCTCCACTGAAATTTAGTAGGCCGTTGGCAGAATTGTGCCCGGCGACGGTGCACCCTGAGACGCCTCTGCCACCTTGGAGGGAAATTTTTCCACTTCCATGCAATCTCGCAGTCACACAGTGAGCATTTTGAGCAGCATAAATGATGCCATGATTTTTTCTTTTTTAATCTTAATTAATTAATTAACCGAATTAATCTGGATTCATGGGATTATCTAATCTATCCAACATAGTGCTGCTCAAAATATTGATAAAAATATCATTGTTGTGATAATGGCCCATGCAATAAAGTTCATCCAGAATTGGATGATTTTATCTGAATTTGTCCAGTCCAGTACAGACTGTACATACATCACCATCCGATAGATGAACAATATCTCGGGACATTACGATGAATGAGCTAAAACGACCGCTACATTTAACTTGCTTGTTTTGCCACATGGGGAAAAAAAAATCTCGAATAATGTCATTTCTTTATGTTCATTTAAATATCTATCGCATGCTTTTTCAATTACTGTGCAGCCCTTATCTATCTATCTGTCTATCTATACACACATTGCTCACCATTGTATTTTTGTTGACCCTAGAGTGAATCTAAAATTTAGGTGAAACTCACCCTTTGAAGATATCAGTGAAAGAGGAGTTTTTCTATTGTGTAGCTACAGTATGTGTTACTGCGGAGCCTCAGGTGTTTCATACACACAGAAGCACACACACATTCACACACCGCCGCCGCCGCCGCCACCGCCATACCGGTCCATCCAGATTGGACTGGTGTTCAGGCTGCGTTTGACACATTCTTCCGGCTTTTCTGGAGCTCTTTGTAAGGGGGTTATCTATGCAAAGTATCCCACGCTAAATGTTGCCTTTTCTTACCATCATTGTGGTTTTTTGTGTTTGTAGAAGTCAGACATGGAGGAGCTAACGATATGGGAGCAGCATACAATAACACTGAACAAAGTAAGTTCCTGCTTGCTACCAGACTGCATGTTGCAGTTGCGCGAGAGTAGGAGGGCTGGGAATCGCAGGCTCGTAGGTGAACGATCGCGAACCATATTGTTAATTTTTTTACTTTATTTTAGGGGTGGGGGGAGAGTTCATTTTCGGTTGACAGTCATATTTGAAATTGTTGTGAATCCAGGTCAAAGTGCTTTGCTAAACAATACAAGCATGGCTATTGTGCGATATTCTTTGTATTGGCAACAAAACAAATCTGCATTACATAACTATATAAATGGTTGCGTTCTCTTTGCACATTAAGCGTACAAAACGGTCTTTATTATGATCATGCGCCGTGGTTGATACACAGGACAATGTTTGTCTCATGTGCAAATCAATATTTGACTATCATCGAGCGATGCCGTATCTCCAAACGGAAACATTGCCATACCAATATTTTGTACACGATTACCAGCTAGCAGTTTGTCTGCGCAAACCTTCCGCTGAAATTCCACAAGGCACACCCTAAGTAACAGCAGTCGACCGGTCGATGGTGCATACCAGCCGGGCTGGAATGTGCTCCCTCTGTCACCCGCATCCACCTGCATACGTGCACACTTGTTTTCCCGTCCTCCCACCTTCATTCCGATCTCTCTGCGTGGCAGGATTCCAAATTGGGCTTTGGCTTTGCCCTATCTGGAGGCAGGGACAAAGCTCATCTGGATAACGGCGATACGGCGGTGATCGTGTCCGACGTGCTGCCAAATGGACCGGCCATGGGACGCTTGTTGTAAGTGGACCAACACAAAATGTATCTCTTCAAAGTAATTCAATAGAAATAGTGAAACCGGTTTGTCAGCGGGGATACCTTCAGGACCCACCCACAATGAGTGAAAATCTGCAACGTCGTGATACCATTCACATGTTAAACTCAGCTAAACCAGCGAATGAAAGTTAGCTAGCTTAATGCAAACATACACTGAGCAAATCTATAAATGCACCACTTTTGTTTTGGTCCTATACTTTTCTCATACGGTATATTGTTCACAAATCTAAATTTGTGAGCACTTTCTTGCCAAGATAAATCATCCACTTTACAGGTGTGACCTTTCAAAACGCTAATTGGAGAGACAGACGGACATGATTATTGCACAGGTGTGTGCGCCTTAGGCGTCCAAAAAAAGGACACTGTAAAATTTGCGGACCGTTATGTAGTCCTGCCACACTGTACATATTATTTTGGGCGCCTGTCATGTCAAGATCACTTTACTGGAAAGGAATAATACTTGTATAACATACAAAAATGAAGATTAAAATACAGCAAAGGAGTATAAAACACAAAAACCAACACAAATGGAAAAAAGTTAAGCCGCCTCTGAAAAGAAATATGTTTTGATTTGACTGTGAGTCTGAATTTTTAATATGGGATTGCGAAAAAAAAATGTCTGTCTGTCCAATGATACATTTTTTCACTTTCCAGCAACAAAGACCAGATCGTTATGGTCAATGGGGTTTCCATGGAGAACGTCCACTCCAACTTCACCATCCACACCCTCAAGTCATGTGGCAAGACGGCTAACATAGTGAGTACTTGAAGACGACCACGTGTCAGTTGGCATCCTGATTCCGCTGAAAAATGTTTGACTTCTCCTTTAATGTGGCATTCCGTCATCTGCAGTGGACAAAATTTGTCAAACCTTCTCAAAAGCCAGCCAAATTGTGGCCTAAACTACATTAGCTGCTCCATGAGCATCCATTTTTGCGAAATAGTTGACTCCGCTTTTAGTGTCCGCTTGTGTCATTAGAATATCGAATCTCTCTACGCCTGTTAGTCAAATCTGAGCTTTGTGTTTTCATCTACTGGTTCTGTGTTAAGTGATGTTAGCATTTTTGGTCGCAACGTGAGATTTCCTAAAAATGACATTGTCAAAATCCTAAGTCTGGTTGGGATGACAACTTCAACTTGAGTACAACAGAGTATTTTGAAAATTGGATAGTGGATGGCTGGCAACCGGTTCAGGGTGTCCCCCGCCTACTGCCTGAAGATGGCTGGGATAGGCTCCAGCATGCCCCGCGACCCTTGTGAGGATGAAGCGGATCAGAAAATGGATGGAAGTATAGTGGATTCCACAGAAATTTTGTGTGCCGGAAAAAAATGTGGTTAAAAAAAAGCCTTCAAACTTGAGTTATGACGTACAAAGTCATTATTCCTGAACTCATCCCCTTGACTCTTTTATTTCATCAGCTACTCCTTCCCTTTTCCCTCTAGACGGTGAAACGTCCTCGCAAGATCCAGATCCCTGCTACGAACAGACCGACTCGGGCCGCCTCCCACTCCAACCTGTTGGACCAAGACCCCCCGAGGAGAACGCGACGCTACTCGGACGCCAGCGACAACAGAGATGCCAGTCGCTACCACATGCGGGCTCGCAGCTCCTCGCCTGACCGCAACCACGCGCGGGCGCGCAGCTCCTCGCCAGACCGCAACGGCTACGGAGGCACGCTGCCCTTGATGTCGTCGGGGTACAAGAGACTGCCGCACCACGACCTCGATGACAAGCCCCTCAGAACCACACTGGTTAAAAAGAAAATCTCAGATGGTAAGTTCAATAAAATAACATGGATGTACTGGTGAAAAAGGTTACCATCATAAAGTTGGGTTTTATTGCGTAAATGATGGTGAAGAATGTTTGCTGTCAGATTGGCAAAAAATACTGTTAACAGAGCCTAAAAAAGAGTTTACATATTACTGTGATATTTGGGTATTCTTGGGGAAAAATAATAAAGCTGTAAGATTAAAGTCTTTCTTTTTGGGGGTAATTACAAGAAAAAGAACTAAGTTGAGGTTTTTTTTTTTTATTTATTTATTTATTTTTTTTTTTTTAATTAATAAGTCTTATGAGAATTATCTTTAAAAAAAGTTGTACTGTAACAAGAATGATTTAGATTTTTTTTTAAGATGATGAGGGGAAAAATAATGAAGTTACAATAGTAAAGATGTGATTTTGCAGTTGTGCGAGATTTTTTTTTTTTACATTATTGTATATTGATGATTATCGTGTCAGATTTTGACACATTTTTACAGGAATAATTAAATCCATAAATTGATAAGAATAACTAGACTTGCCTTCGTGTGATCATGCTTGCGACGCAGAGTACGGCTTGAAACTGGGCAGTCAGATCTTCATCAAGCACATGACTGAAACGGGCCTGGCAGCAAAGGAAGGCACCCTGCAGGAAGGCGACCTGATTCTGAAGGTAAGTCTCAACAAAAACAGCCGATGCACTCAGTTCGTTTTCGACACACGCCTCTTCCCCCGCTTGCCCACCAGATCAACGGCATGACCACAGAGAACCTCTCCCTGCTGGAGACCAAGCACCTGGTGGAGAAGAGCCGCGGCAAGCTGACCATGACGGTGCTGCGCGATCACCGCAAGTTCCTGGTCAGCATCCCCGAGGTGGAGGACAGCGCCCCCAACAGCGAGGATGAGCGACGGCGGCGGCGGCAAGACAGCAGCTCCGAGATGGAGGGTGAGACGAAAAGACAAGGAGTTGACGAGCAATAATGGACGACATTTTTAGTTTTGTATGATTTATTTGTTTTTACTCTCTGTAGACATTTCCGACTTGGATGATCGCTCACCTTCTCACAGAACATCCCGTCATCCTACCAGAGAGAAACGGACGCACAGGTACACCTGAGAAACTAGTTATATAATCCTCCGAAGAGCGATGTTGTCAGATTTGAAGTTGTGCCACTCCATATTTGGCGATGTGGTTAGCGTGTGTGCCTCACAGTCAAGAGGTCTTGGGTTTGACTCTGCACAGGCCTTCCGCCCTCATTCTAAAAACATGAATGTTTGGTTCGTTGAAAACTCCGGGCAGGGTCAGCTTTTGTGCTTCAAGGCCAACATTGATTTTTAAAACAGATGGGTGAGGATGTTATGGTAAATAAAAGGTTCAAATGTGTTTGTAAAATAGGTCATTTTATTCATGAAGGAATTGGTTCTGTTTTGAATGAAGTAACCAATGATTTTATGCAAAGGAAGTGTTAAATGCATTTGTAAAATTATTCATTTCAATAAAAGATTCTTGTTTTCAAATGGTGTCGATAATTGATTAGTCACAATATATGTAAATATTTATTTTACATTTTTTTCTTTTAACAATAAATAAACAATTGGATACAATAAATGAAACATGATCTATTTATATGTAAAATTTGATTGAATTATTTTCTTATTTACCTTTTAATTAGCCAAATACATATAACATTTACTTAAATAGATCAGCCTGTTAAATACGCAGTATTTGTACATTTGTTTGTCACTATTTTTATCGACAATAAGTAATTTATTCACAAATACTGTTTAAGAGGAAGGAAATGTAATCTGTGCTGTAAGTTTTTGACAATAAAGTTGTACTTGATACTTGACATATTTCATCCAATATGAATTGTGTACTCCACCTCGTGGCCAAAATTAGCTGCGGTCGGCTGCAGCCACGCCCGCAAGACAAATGAGGACACTGCTATAGAAAATGGTCGCATGGATAACGATCTGGCATCATATTGCCGGACTTTGTCGTGAGATTGTGTCAGCGGATGACACGTCACTTTGGTTGAGCTTTGTGCTTAATCTTTTCTCCTGTCTCGGTTTGACACCAGAGCCAGAGCAGAACTTCCTCCTTCGGTGCTCAAATCCAGGGATTCTTCCCCCGTGCGCTCCACTTTGACTCGCCCCCCAGCAAGAGGCTACGCATCTCGCCGAGGTCAGCCCCGCAAGAGTCCTTCCGTCATGTCCGGCCGGCTCTTGACTCGGCGCGTCCTTGACGTTGTCCATGTTGTTTCTCGCAGCCCCGTCTGACTCCGAGTCGGACCGCAGCGCCTCGCCGCCTCCCACCCGGACGGACAGTCTGAGCCACTCCAGTAAATACAAGTCAGTGGAACGGAATGCGCACGTGATCTATGCGACCTACACTATTTCCGGGGGCATACTATACTACAAAGTCAAACAATTTGGAGGTTTCTGGGAAAGTATGCGGCATTTCTAGAATAGTCGTCCACTCAAGGCTGAAAGTTTCCGTGTGTGCTGTACATGGAAATTCCAACACACACGAGCACTCGCTGCGCTATCAGTGTCTAAATAGCGGCGGTGGGTAAATAAGATGGCTCCACTCATGTGTAGTGCGACCGCTCTGGCTTGTGATAGTTTCACCAAACCAGGACTAAACGCGGCGTCAAAACCAGTGGAGTCTCGAACAGGTTCAGAGAACAGCATGAAATGCATATACAGTTGCCACCTTGTGTTGCCACGGCATAGATCCAAAGGTTTTGGCTCACTCCGTCCTGATTGCAGAAATTATTGTTAGGAATATTTGTATTAGGTTCTATCACAATCATGTCGCACACAAGTCAATTCGCATGACAGTTAATGCTGAGATGTTACTTTTTTTTTTTTAATGCAGAAGCCTGTCTGGTTTGTCCATGCTGCCCAACCCCAGGTCCTCACCCGCCATCCAGAACTATTCATCTTCCAGGCCCGCCTCGTCGTCCTCAAGGCCCCGCAGGCCCGTGTCGGACTCTGACTCCGACCACAGCGCCTCAGACAGCAGATATAAGTAAGCTTTGATTGTTACTCAGGGAGAACATTAATCAGAAAGTAAGCCAGTCTGGTTCTGATTTAAATTTTTTTTTTCCTTGTCACTTGTCAGCCCCAGAGTTATTCCTCCTGCTGATCTGTCCCACTCTGGCCTGAGAGCTTCCCCCATCCTGGTGCGCCAGGAGCCCCCAAGGAGGGTCAGTTCTCCCCTGAGAGTCCCTCCCCCAGGTCGGTACACTCAAACAATTTTTAAAAAAATGCATTTTAGTTCACAATTCACCATCTCAAGAAGTTACAAAATGCCATATGACAATCAGAATGATATTGACCACGGAATACTTCTGAAAAGCCTGCTCAATAGGTTTAAACAATCTCTAAAATGAGTTTCAGTTTTTGAATTGAACTCCAGAATTGGATGAACTTATCTAACATCCATAATAAGCTCGACAAAAATGCATTTCGAGTAGCATGGTGATGCCTGCTAATCAAGTTGTCTTCCTCCCTTCTCAGACTCCGAGTCGGAGTCTGAAGGCAGCTCGGCGCCTCCTCGGAGGCAGAGCGCCGCCTACAGTCAGGACTCGTACGGCAGCAGCAGATACAGGTACACATGAAGGCATCGTCCCCTTCTCCCCCCACCCACTTGAACACCCTGCTGGGACACTTGAGTAAATAAGGCATTTATTTTTATGACTATACTTTAATTTACCCTTTTTAGTTTTGAAGTTACACAAAAGTTACATCATCTGTCTTGTGAATGTTTTTATTTTTCACACGCGTGTGTTTGTGTGATCACATTGTAGCTTTTTTGGACTTTTGTGTGTTTTGGGGCTGTACCATTGTGTGTGACGCGCTGAAATAAAAAGTGACTTTCACTGAACATGTCCCTCTCCATTATGTGGCTACATGCTGATTAAACAGATGACTCTACCATAAATATATTAACTAAATCTATACTTGAAATTGATCAATAGTCATCACAAAGCAGTCAAAGAGAGGAGTCCCCTCAGACGCAAAGGTGAATATTCCCTCATCCATAATAATCACTTTAGCCACAAGCCCACTCCCCGTCCTTCCAAATGTAACTGAGACTTGTTTTCCTCCTCCCTCACTCCCGCCTCCCTCTTGTCTCTTGCAGAGCGTTGCCGACGGACCTTTCCTCTCAGCCGGAAAATAGGCGGCACAGCGCTTCCGGTGTCCCGGTCGGCCGTGCACCACGTCGAGGTGAGCATAAAATCATTGGAGATTTTTCGGAACCAGTCTGCGCAGTTGGTTCCTAATTCAATATTAACAGTTTCAGGAGCCACGCATTTGAGATCATCACATGCAATCCTTTGGTTTATTTTGAGCAAAACTTGAATATGATCAATTTAAATTACCGTATTTTCCGCACGATAAGGTGCTTCACTGTATAAGGCGCACCTTCAATGAATGGCCTATTTTAAAACTGTTTTCATATATAGGGCGTGCTGCATTAAAAGGCGCATAGAATAGAACCTGCCATAGTGGCTGCGGTTCCGCTATGCATCCACTAGATGGCGCTACGCTAAAGGCAATACAATACAGCTTTATTTATATCGAGCTTTTCACAACTGCTGCAACTGTAACAAAGCGCTTCACTGAACATTTTAAATATTACATCCAAGAAATCAGAATATTGATCCATATAGAAGTCTCATCGGATTATAAAGCCCCAGGTCACTCACAACACTAATGGGTACAAGTGCAAAATGAACTAGATGGATAAATGTTGAAGCCTTAGCAAAGTTGTACAGAAAAGTAAGAATCATCATGTTAATCCAATTAATTGTGATTCTAAATGAATGCATGCATCGAATTTCTGTAAATGTACGCATGCAAATCTGACGCTCAAGTGTGATTCCTTACAGCTCCGTCCGAGTCGGATTCGGAGGACAGTTATGGGTCTGCCCCTCGCAGATATTCAACGGACAGCGACAAGTCAGACAGAGCCAAAAACAGATACAGGTGGGAGTTTTTACCCCAATCAGGTGTGATACTTGTTTAGCATCTTTAGAGTGTGCTTTCAAACTATATTTAACTTTCTCCAGGAATAAGCATTACTTGTGCAGCTAAATGGAGACAGTGGCTCCAAGAGATGTCTTGTCTTGTCTTGGATTAAAAATGTCAAATTGCATCAACTAAAGAATATCTTAAATGATATAATTCCCCCTGTGCTGCTTGCAGAGTCCTTCCTGAGATCAAGTCTTCTTCGGTCGATGTGAATCCGGAGCCAGCCCGCCGAGTCTCGTTGCCTGTGCAACCTCCTCCTGATGGTCAGTCGAATCGTGAATGTTTGTGTGAGGGTGGCAAGTGTGCGTGAGGATGACGTGATGGGAGAAAGAATATGTGTGTGTGTGTTTAATGATCGAATGTGTGTGTCAATGTAGAGAAGTGTGTGTATGTGTGATGAGTGTTTGTGAGTGAGCTAGTGTGTGAAGACGGGATCTTTTGTGGTCTCTTCACAACATTCAGTTTCCTCCGAGTCCGACGATCTGTCGCACCTGCGGAGGTCGGGCAGCTCAGACCGCGGGGATAGCCGACGCAGGTACGACCTTTCCAGCTCGAAAGTGGAAAAAGATTTCAACCAACGCATCGGAAAATGAAAACAAAAATTACATTTTTTTTTTCTTCATTTGTCACTCAACCAACGCATCGGAAAATGAAAACAAAAATTACTCACATTTTTTTTTTCTTCATTTGTCACAAAAAAAAAGCAAACTTGTGGAGATTAGACATGGCATGATGGCAATGGTTTGATGAGTTTCATTTGACTTTTCAGGTCTAGTTTTTCCAGACAGAACTCTAAATTTTTCCTTCGACTATTTTAATCCCATGTTATACAGTAACAGTGCTCCCGATGTGCCTCACAATGGTGGCACCATGAGATCTGGGATCTCCGTGAGGAGCAATCCACCAGTCAGCTGTAAGCGCCGCATTCAGTGGTTTTCATTGTTTTTTGTTGTTGTTAAAGAAGGAATGAATCGCCCTTTTAACATGCTTTCATTATGATCATCAGCACCAGCAGCAGCACCGGCCCCTGTTCCCGCCAAGTCTGCTGAAGAGCCCATCTACTCATTGCCTCCAGACTCGTACCCGACATCCCCCCAAGGGTGAGTCCCTCTCAGGTCTCCGCCTCCCAACTTGCACGACCGCATTAAAGCTCAGCATTTCTGGTTCCGGTCCTGCAGGTACAGCTCCGACATGCAGGCGGTATCGTTCATCAAGGAAGGCAGCGTGGGCCTCAGGCTGGTGGGCGGCAACGACGTCGGCATCTTTGTGGGAGGGGTGCAGCCCAACAGCCCCGCGTACAAGCGGGGAATGAAAGAGGGTGACCAGATTTTGAAGGTGAGGGTGGCTTTGCCCTGGCCTGTACCAGAGACACAATTAATTTGGTAGTAGTTGCTGTTTAATTTTATTTCATTTCAATTTAAATATACATATTTATTATATCAATAAAAATGTGTAGCTGTAGTTTACAGCTTTTACCAATAGTCTTGATTGCACTGTGTTAATTTGAATTTCTAAAGTTTTTTGATTGAAATTAAAAAAAAATGTATATTAATAAAAACAGATATTCATTAAAAACTTAAGTATATGGAATTTTTTTTAACTTCCTTTTTATTGTTTGTTTATTTAATTTTAATTACCGTATTTTCCACACTATAAGCCGCTCTGGAGTATAAGGCGCACCTGCGATATGTATCCACTAGATGGAGCGAGGCTAAAGGGAATACAATACAATACAATACAGCTTTATTCGTGTTCCATTTTCACAACCGCTGCAGATGTAACTATAATATATCCCAGCAGACATCTTTCAGTTGTTAAGATGTGTATACCACATATCAGCAACTGGTGTTTGTGGCGTTTCTTGTTTCAATCGCTGGTAGGGGACAGGGACACTTTGTCAAAATGCATTTTTGGAATAATATTACGCACTATGACAGGAGTTTTTTCTTCTCCCTTTGTCACAGGTCAATAACACCGACTTTGGCCACTTCACTCGAGAGGAGGCAGCAAATTTCCTGCTTAACATCAAGAGAGGAGAGAGGGTAGCGATTCAAACTCAAAATAAGATGGACAGTAAGTGCAGTCTAACCATAGCAAGCTCCAGTTTGCGTCTCATGGCCTTAAATGGTCAATTTTTTCTTTTGGTCTTCTTCAGTTTATAAGAAGATCATAAAGTCCAACCTGGGCGACAACTTCTACATCCGCACGCACTATGACCACGAGACCGATCACCCCATCGGGCTGAATTTTACGCGAGGAGAGGTGTTCCGAGTGGTAGACACGATGCACCGCGGGAAGCTGGGCAACTGGCTGGCCATCCGCATGGGCAACGACCTGCACGAGCTCGATAAAGGCACCATCCCCAACCAGACCAGGTGAGCAACAGGTGCACCCGGAAAATGGCCGACTGTCACACTACGTCCCTCAGGTCCAGTCAAACTGCATTCATGTTTTACATACCGGTCAACGACTATGTACCATAGTCCAATCAAGTTTCAAGAAAATCAAAAGAAATTTATGAAAGCAAAATTAATAGAGTCTGTGTGATAGCTACTCTGTGAATTTTCTTTCTCACGTTGGTGCGGTCGCCATCCATCAGGGCGGAAGTGCTGGCCAGCCAGGAGCAGGCGCAGAGGATGAGCGGCGAGAAGCCAGTGTCGGGGCCCAGGGCCGAGTTCTGGAAACTCCGGGGCCTCAGAGGGAACAAAAAGAACGAGAAGAACGCACGACGCTCACGGGACGACCTCCTGCAGCTCACCATTCAGGGCAAATTCCCGGCTTACGAGAGGGTCCTGCTCAGAGAAGCCAATTTCAAGCGGCCCATCGTCATTCTGGGTCCTCTTAACGATATCGCTATGGAGAAGCTAGCGAGGGAGATGCCTGATGAATATGAAATAGCTGGTTGGTGTCTTTTTTTTAAAGCACTTTTATACCTTTAAGTTTTTTTACCTGAACCCCCCCACCTCGTTTCATCAGAGATGGTTCCTCGCAGTGGGGGCGGTGACAGCAGCTCAACGGTTATCAAACTGGACACCGTGAGGAAGATAGCTGAAAAGGTGAGTTCAACATTTCAGGTTTTATTTTTAATATCCAAGACCACTCACATAAATAAATTCTATACAGTGTGTGTGGCATGCTCCACGTGGTGGCTCACTTAAGTTTATTCCTGTTCCGTTGCCAGGACAAGCACCCCCTGCTGGACATCACGCCAACCGCCGTGGAGAGGCTCAACTACATCCAGTACCACCCGATGGTGATCTTCTTGGACCCGCACAGCCGCAAGGACGTCAAAGCCATGAGGCAGCGCTACAGTCCCGACTCCAACAAGAGCTCCAGACGCCTTTACTCGCAGGCGCTCAAGCTCAGGAAAGACTGCAGTCATCTTTTCTCAGGTACATCAATAACATACATCGCGCGTGTGTTTATAGACAACACTGCATATCTTTTTTCTTTTTTTTCCTTTTTTTTACCTTTTTTTTTTTTTAAACTATAGTTTTTTTTTAATCACTGAATTGCTTGAGAGAACATGAGATTCTAAAAGATGTTTTGTTGAAGCATATTTAAAAATAAAATAGTGAATGTCTCTGTGAGTCTGCGTCCTATTCATGATTATTGAAGTGGTTCTGTGTTCATCAATGTATCACATGTGAAGTGTGCAGTCAGTTGTCAGCTTTTTGGGTTGAATGAATTTAATGAATTAAAAAGCTTCGGATCTGTGATAAGAAGCTTCCAAAACAGGGAACCTACAAATGCTCAGATTGTAAAATGATGCATTTGTTTGATTGTTAGATCATAAAATGTCATAGGCCTCAGAAGAGTGATTCTCTCCATCTGTCAGGAGTCATTTGTTATTTGTTCCCTCTAGCGCGCGTTGACTTGCAGCCCGGCTCCAATATTTGGTATCAGGCTCTAAAGGACAAGATTCGCCACCAACAGTCTAAACCAGTCTGGGTTTCTGAAGTCACGGTAAGCCACATATACCTTGCTGTGTTGAATTTCCATTTCGCACAATCATGCTGTCCAAAAGGTCTGTGTAGATAGATTTATGTGTGTATCTTTGTTTAGTTGGAGAGCGGTGGAGAACAGGACCTGGACGCACTGGATCAAACTCAGTCCGACTACCTCAGTGCCGCCAGTGACCTGGAGGACACGGACGGCGAGGCCTTCACAGACGGCGAGGCCTATACGGACAACGAGGACCTGGAGGAGGCCTACCCGGGTCAGCACGCAGCCAGGAGCTCAAGAGTGTCTGGCACCGCCCTGGCTCGCTCGTCCGAGCCCACCTGGGGCAGTCCCGACGAGGAGCTGGACCCTGAGCCTTACGCCGAGGTGTACTCGCCAGGCAGAGAGATCCCACCTCTGATGCACGTGCCGGAACCCGCCACGCTCCGTCGCCAGAGCCGCAGCCCACCTCTGCATCATCCGGACGATATTCGTTCACACCGCAGTTTTTCGGACTCTGACTTCAACCACCTCGACACCATTGCACCCACCACTCCGTCAGACGGACCCCCGGAGTTTATCGCTCCCGACCCATCCACGCGTTACTCTGTCAGCGAGCCGTATGGGGATGAGCAGCCAGGGAGCCCACATCAAGCCAGTCTGTCTGCCATTGAGAACCAATTAGAGCAGGTAATTGACATTGGTTTTGGTTGATTATCACGGGATCAGGCCTAAAAATCAATGTGCAACAAACCACACCATGTCACATATCATATTAAAGCGCGTAAAGATTGCTTTCCAGATCTGTACTTCTTTTCTCATTATGATATTTTGTTTTGACACACGGACAAAAATATTTGTAAAACCTTGATGGAGTTCGATTGTAACATAAGAAGTCAGTGTGCAACAAACCAAAACAAGTCACATATCACATTAAAGCTCTTGATGGGAGCATTCCAGAGCTGTAATTCTTTTGGCCTCACATGCTGACACGATAATATACGGTATATAATTGTTTTATTTGTTTTACTTGAGGCCAGAGCTAACTTGTTGTTCTCGTTCAGGCTCGACAGGCAGAGCTACAGACGCAAGCGGAGGAGAAGAAGGCCCTTCAGTTCATCGTGTAAGTCTCCTGTGGCTCACTAGTAGGGGGAAAAAGACTTAACCTGCAGATGTTTGACACACGCCCCCTTCGCTTGTTTACAGGGTGGCACATCACCAAGCGGTCCAGGTCAGACGCACGCAGATCCGAGGCGGGAGCAACAGCTCTGAAGAGGATGAAGAGTACGAGGATGAGGACATCGAATGGGGTCCAGCGACAGAACTGTAGACAAGCCACCATTTGTCCACCATTTGAGTCTGAACGAACAACGAAAGACGCTCCAAGACACTTTTTTTTTTTTGATAGTTATCCCCAATCTGAACTCAAATTTTTATATAAATGCCTGATTCACTTTAAAAAGTACTGTGTAGCACAATTTAAGGTGAAAATTGGTCTTATGTAAACTCTGTATTAAAGCATCAATGTTTTTTTTTCTACTTGTGGAATAGGGACTGAGTGCATATCAAACCTCAGAGGAACTGCTTTGGTTAAAAAAAAAAAAAAGAAAAAAGAACAAAGAATGCCTTTAACCATAAAATCTCCCAATATATTATAAACATCAAACTATTGTGGCCACGAAGGATTTAACGCATCATCACAAGACTGAACTTTTAACCTGACACACACGTGCTAAGATGTTTTAACGATGGGAGGGTTTTTTTTCTACATTTTAACGTGACTGTTATATTTTTACCATCTTTTTATTTTTTAATAAATGTTTTTAAAATTTACATTGCGTGTCTGAGCTGGATCCAGAGCTGGGGGTTTGGTTAAATTATTTCACGCTCAAGCTACAGCTTGCGAACCGCTGGGGGCCTGAGAGCCCGACAAGAAGGTAGAACATGTCAATCAGCGATGAGTGTTATGATACTATTAAAAAACTGTTATAAATATCAAAAATTGTGTAGTAGTAATAAATGGTTTATAACTACTGAAAATAAAATTATCACGCGGATTTTATCCCGTGAAATTACCTTAGTAATGTGATGGGTTACCCTGATGGTAACCTATCAGAAGGCCGCGGTTATATAATGCAAAATTAAAACGTCTATCGGTAACGCACAGGTCGAGTTGTGATCCTCACATTCGTTAAATCAATCAATACATAAATAAATAAAAATAGGGGTCTAACTTACCTAATGGCGCAGGTGAGACAAGCGGGCGGAAGAATACCCCGAAAAACACTTGACGTGGACGCACACGTGTGCTTTGATGAATTGATTGCGTTGGAACTAAGTGCCCATTATATCTCTGTCGAGATGTTACTTTAAAGTTGGGCCGTCGTTTGTTGTACTTTTATGTCTCGGGGGGCGGGGGGGGGACTGACAACGTTTAGACT